TGTACACCACCACACCTGGCTAGACTCTGCCTTTTAAAAAAATTAATAAATCTTGGAGAAAGTTGCTGATGTATAGGAATATAAATTCAATGGAGAGCTGCCTCATTGTTTTACTTAATGACTGTAAAGTTTATTGGATAGTTGAACCATCATGTACTTATACATGTGGATAAGAATTTTATTTATTATTTGTGCTGGACAGCTTTAGTGTCAACTTGACACACCTGGGTTGAGGGAGCCTCAATTGGGGAATTTCCTCTATTGGACTGGCCTGTGGCCATGTCTGAGGGGCATCTTCTTGATGAGTGATGTGGGAGGGCCCAGCCCACTGTGGGTGGTGCCACCCCTGGACAGGTGGGCCTGTGTTGCATAAGAAAGCAGGCTGAGCAGGGGCCAGGGGAGCAAGCCAATAGGTTCCTACCTTGGGCGACCTGGGAGATGTAAGCTGAATAAACCCTTTCCTCCCCAAGTTGGTAGTGGTCAGAGTGTTTTGTCACAGCAATGAGGAAACAAACCAGGACATTATTTTTCTTATTTTATGTGTATGAGTGTGTTGCCTGCATGTATGTGAGTGCACCCGTGTCGTGCAATGCTGTGGAGGTCAGAAGACGGCTTCGGATTCCCCGGGAACTGGAGTTAAGGACAGTTCATAGCTGCCATGTGGGTGCTGGGAATCAAACCCAAGTCTTCTGCAAGAGCAGTCAGTGCTGTTAACTGCTGAGCCATCTCTCCAGCCCCGTGGATGAGATTTTTAACATTGATTTTTAACTTACTTGCTAAATTGGAGTATTTGTGCATTTTTTACTTCAGTGATTTTTTCCCAGGATCTCGCAGTAGTTGAGAGTTCCTTGACACACAGAAGGGCCTCCTTCCTCACTTTTCTGTGGATTCTATGTGTAGTGACTGCCAACATTTCTTTAGAATAGCCTTTCATTTGTTTGATAAGCTGTTGAGTCAGCATTCAGTTAACATGTATTCTATGATAGATACAATGACTAACTACTGGTGATCTGAAGTCTAATAGGGCAGTGTCCCTGGATTCAGGCGCTGACAGCCTAATGACGGGGCAAGTGGGCTATCTGTGACAACTGCAGGGATGAGTGCAGCTGTTTCAAGAGTTCAGCACAGGTGAAGTATGGGTGCTCCATTTTCATGGGTGCCTCTGGGGAGCTTCCCGGAAAAGCGAGCATCTGAGCTGATCTTCCAATGAGCAGATGAGTGACAGGAGAACTTAACCAGAGAAGGTCATCTAATGAGGAATGGGTGAAGAATGGAGGTTGTTGCAGGAGAAAATCTGCAAGCAACATGGAGCTTTTCTTCCAGCTCATAAGTAGGAAGAAAAAGCGTAAGTTGTAGAAGTGAAGAAGAAGATGGAGTCACAGGAGGAGCCGTGTCACAAAGGGTATACTTGCAGGCAGTCTATTTCTGTCCACCACCAGCTTAATAGATTTCTACTGAGAAGCTGCCACCACCATCAGTGACAGTCGCCATGTGACTTGAGTGGCTTATTAAAACTGGGAGGAGGCGTTGGAGAGATGACTCCCTCAATAAAAGGCTTGCTACCTAAGCATGAGGACCTGAGTTCAATCCTGTAGCACCCGTATAAAGACAGACAGACACGATGGTACGCACCTATAATCCTAGTTCTAGGAAAGGGATGGGACAGGAGGTCCCTGGCGCTTGCTAGCCAGCCAGTCTAGCCAGTCGGTTAGCTCTGGGTTCTATAGATGGCATCTCGGAAAATAAGGTTGGAAGTAACCGAGGATGATGTCTGACATGGACCTCTGGTCTACAGAGACAGAGAGAAAGAGACACACAGAGAGACACAGGGACAGAGAGATAGAGAAAAAAGAAAGAAACTAGGAGGAAAACAGCAGAATCCAGGCTGAGCTACTTTTTCCAGACTTCATTGTGGGAATATACCCCAGCCAGAAAGGAAGTGTGATCATAGGGCAGCCAAGTGGATCACAGACCCTTGCTATGCAAACCGTGGTCCTTGGACTGGCACACAAGGCCCACATGTGAACTTTTAGAAATGCAGGTGCCCAGGCCCACTCCAGATAGGCTAAATCACACTTGGGAACTTGGGAAGCATCAGCATAGCATTTAAGGGCTCAGGCTTTGGTATCAGGAAGAACTAGATTCAGGGTCCCGGCACAGGATTTGAAACTCGGTGACCTTGGACAAATTACTTAACTTCACTAAGCTTCTTTTGCCTCATAATCAAAATGGAAAATGACAGTCACTGATACAGATGACATACACGAGGACACTTAACAGAGGGCCTGTCTTTCCTATGCACAAATTCTCAGTAAACTTAATGTAATGGTAACAGTATACTTGTGTGTGGACCCTGAACTCATGTAAGGTATGTCTGCTCCAGGCAATTCACAATAGAAAGAAAACCATCCAGTTGAGAGTCAGCCTGGCTGTCATAGATTTCTAGCCTGAAAAAGCTGGTGGCTTCCATAATTCATATTTCTTTTCCTTCAGAGAAACAGACTGGTGAGTTGCCAGCAGTGGGCAGAGGAGCTGCCTCTTTCTAAGTACTATGAGTGCCAAGTTCCCAAATGCTAATGGACCACACAGGAAACCAGTGGGCTGGAGCTAAAGGAACCCTGAAGAACCTTACTGTGCAGAGGCTGGTCTAGTGAGTGGGTAAAGGCTGACTGGCATCCTTTCCTGACACTTGCAAGAGCCCTTTATAACATGTTGCCACATGATCAAGTAGAAATGTATTAAAGAATAGTTTTAACAAAGAGATGTCAAGGGCCAGCGAGATGACTCAGCAGGGAAAGGCACTTGCCACCAAGCCTGGCAACCTGAGTTTGATCCCTGAGACCCATATGGTAGAAGGAGAGAACTGATTCCCAAAAGTTGTCCTCTGACTTCCACTCACTGTCCATGTACATGCACATACACAAAAAATAAATGAAATGTGAAAAAGATGTCAAGAGTTAAGTACTCTAGAAAGGAGTCACACTCAACATTTTGCATATCCGTAATCTGCTAGGCACTGGGGACACAGAGACAAGCCACCCCTGCCCTCGTGACAGTTACAGACTAGAACAGAGATAAACAAGGAACAAGCACCTGCTTAGTGATCTTGGCTGTGTAATCATTTTGGAATTCACTGTCCATAGTGTGGCACAAAGCAGTGTGCATGGTAAGAAGCTAGAAGGGGGATTGGGGGGATCTTCGTCCTGACCTAAGGCAAGGCATGATAGCACATGGCTCACTTCCTCCCTCTTTGGTACTGTTTCATCATCGGGAAAAAAAGAGTGTTCGACTTTGATGGACTCAAGCTTTCTATCCACCTCTGGGTATCTGTGTACTCCTTCCCAATCCCCTAAAAAGAAATCTATTTTCTATAAAATGAACAGCTAGCTCCATGGTCTCCTTTACAGACTATCTGCTGAGTGCTCAGGGTTTGATGTGCAAGCCCATCCATTACATCTGGAATGTCAGACACTAAAGATGCTGGCTGTCAGTAAGTCTCAAAAGGCCACTTCCATCTTATGGAAGAGCTTACCTGTTATGGGACTGAAGAGCAGATGTTCTAGAATCAGACTATCAGGAATAAACCAAAGGAATGCCTCCACTTACTGTATGACTTAACTACATTTCACTGGGCATGAGTTTCCTCATCTTAAATTCAGTGATACCTGGGGATAACGATACCCAGTACTGGCACCCAAAAGATAACAATGCTAATTGCACAGATACATTGAGATGATGGATGTACTTGGAACGTATGAAGCACTCTGTGATAGGAGCTCTCATTACTATAAGAAATGGGCTCAGCTTTGGGGGTAATGTTGGTTAATCTGGTTATAAGACTTTGCTGAGGAGTACTAATGAACTACTGAGCCATGGCCATAGGAAGAAGAACCTGCGCACAGGAAAGGGATCTGACCTGCGATTTGGGCTTTACGCTGACTTGCTATAGATGCCAATGGTCAAATACAATCTCTGGGCTTCTGTTAAACTGGGGTTACATCTGTCTCAACTTGGGCCTGTAACAATCTGCCGAGGTCACATGAATGATATGGTTTGCGAAGGTAGTGATAGCTTCATGAATGTGAGCTACTATTATAGAACCAAGTTCAAATGCAAATAAGATGGACATGCATCCTAGAGGGAGAGTTCAAATGGAAACTTCTACAACAATGTGAAAAATTGGAAAACTATGGGTCAGATTCAGCCAAGAGATTAAAAAAGGAAAAGAAAACAAGTCACTTATCTCTGCTTTATCCTGAAAAGTCAGGACATTTGGCAAAGGGACCAGCACTGGAGCAATCTGTTGGGCAAAGCTAGGAGCACTGTTTAGTGTGGCTTCCAGATCCACAGCGTGGTCCATCTCGTAATGACCTCTGCTATACCTTAGCCTAATTCCCTCGATCATCTAACATGTATGGTACCTATGGACACTCAGTTTAAGAACTTGCTTTTGTGGTTCAGAAGACAGAATTCATCGTGAGATGGATAAAAATCTCATGGGGAGGTGGACCTTCTTATGGTCATTAAGCTCTAACTCCACTTTTGGTGAAGAAGAAAGAATTCTTTGGACAAATGTGATCAGAGGCACAGGAGAGTGTAGACCCAGAATGCAACAGCAAGACCTGTAGACTGAGCTGGGCTCCACATTGAGAAGCAGTTGAGGAAAGGGTTGGGAATTCATCTGTGAAAGAATGTAGATGCCAGATGAGTTGATGCTAACCATGAGCCCTGGAGATTCGGGGAAGTCAAGAGTTGTTTCAGGAAGATGAAGTCATACATGGGAAGGGTGGAGAGAAAAGAGATGAGAGGCAACCATACTGGTACACAGATTGGTGCAGAAATACAAGACAGAGGACTGGTGGGTCTGAAGAGGACTGGAAGAACAGGGGTGTGAAACAAGTGGTGGAGACACTGGGAGGGAAGAGATTCCAGGGCCTGGAAGCTGGTGGGTCTGTAGATTGATTTTAGGAAAGAATTTCACGTGGGCCTTTCTCTTCCAGGAAAAAGATGTGACTCCAGATAAAAACCTCCTGGGCAAGGTGCGAAATGCCGCCTTGTGGCTGGAGACCTTGTCAGATGCCAGGTCTGCCAAGCCTTCCCACTCCACCACCTCTTCCATTGCTGACTTCTTCCTTGCCCTGACCATCTGCAACTCTGTCATGGTGTCCACAACCACTGAGCCCAGACGGAGGGTGAGGACTAATGATGGTTTGGGATGGAGGGGAGAGGAGATAGGAAAGTACAAAAGCGTAAGAGCAATGGGGGAAGCCCTGATCAGAGACATGCCCCTTTGGTGCTAACCACAGCATCATCAGCCCATCACTGTGAAACCTGGATCAGGCATCTGATCCTTCCTAGGTCTGTTTCCTTATTTTTAAATTAAGTGGAAAAAGTACACATGAACTGTTTGTACAACTTTATCTGCTTGAGGGGCAGATATTGAGTCAGCGTTCCTTAACCATTTAGCTATGGGCCAGGCCTCATGTTAAACACTTTACCTACATTATCATTTAATCCCCACAAGCCCCAAACTCTATGAGGTATGTTTTTGGATTTAAACAAGTGATGTCTGCGTGTGAGTAACTTAAGGAGGCATGGTTAATATGGATCCATGGAAGAACCGTTTGACTCCATTGTAGTTCCCAATAATATCATATTATACTGGTGTCTTTTGTATGGGGACTAAAAATGATTAACACTGTGTGTCATGCTCTTTCCATGGAAAGAATGCAGATGGTAGATTGTCTACTTAAAGTTTATACTTTGAAATCTACCAAGGATAAACTTTTCTTCATTTATTCACAAATTCAGCCACAGTCCCTATGAGTCACCAATAGGAATAATTCATTGGTGCAACTTATGGCTATAAAATCAAGAAAACAGGGTCACTAGACCACAACCTCCCCTAATTATACCCAGGTTTTAAACCACCCAGAAAAGCCACATTAGCTACAGAAAAGTCACCAAGTAACCAAAAGTTTTCAGTGATATTAGGGAGGCAGGAGGCATTAGCTGAGAAAGTAACTCTATTTTTGAGAAGAGAACAAGTGCTATTTTGGAAAAACTCCCTCCCATCCAACTCTTAGATGTCACATTAATGAGAAGGCTTACACTGGCAGATAGCTCAGAGCTGATGTCTGGACTCAGAACAGATCTGAGTCCCAGCTGTGACAACACTCTGGGTTGTCATGGTCCCTTTATTCAATATCTGGTACCCTGGCTTCATCATCCATGCTGATGGGTGCCCATTGAATTTCAGGGATGATTAAGTGAGATAACTTCACACATACATGTAAGCTGTCAGAGATCGTGAATTCTAGAGTGTCTGAACTGCATCTCCTTGTGTTTCTCTTGGCCATGATTAGAGTGGAATGCTCAGAAACTAGAGGAACATGAGTCCTATCCATGCCTAGAACATTACACCTAGAAGGAAACAACTGAGCTAATTCCTTCATTTTATAGGTGGGCAAGCTGGCATCCCTAGAACACACAGATCTTGTCTATGTATGGCCCAAACTGCAGCATTACCATGGCATTCTGCGTAAGACAGCTTGGATACCTCCCACCTTAAAATAATGTTGGTCATTCTTCATTTGACCACAGGTTACCATTCTACCGTCCAGCAAGGCTCTGGGAACGTCCTTGGAGAAGATTCAGCAGCTCTTCCAGAGGCTGAAGCTCCTGAGCCTCAGCCAGTCTTTCTCATCCACTGCTCCCTCTGACACAGATCTAGGGGAGAGTTTGGGGCCCAACTTGCCCCCGACAGACTTAGATGAGAAAGACAATGCATCTGTGTGCAGTGGAGACTGCTCCACTGATGGTGGCTACAGGAGCAGCACCTGGGAACAGGGTGACATCCTGGGATCCGGGTCAGGGTCTTCCTTGGAGGAGGGCCTGGAGGCCCCAGCTCTTGGTCTAGATGGACCCGAGCTCTGCTACGAAGCCGAGAGCCCAGATGAGGCGGCTCTAGTGCATGCTGCCCATGCCTACAGCTTCACGCTGGTGTCCCGGACACCTGAGCAAGTGACCGTGCGCCTGCCCCAGGGTACCTGCCTCACCTTTGACCTCCTCTTCACCCTGGGCTTTGACTCTGTCCGAAAGAGAATGTCAGTAGTGGTGAGGCACCCACTGACGGGTGAGATCATCGTCTATACCAAGGGCGCCGACTCAGTCATCATGGACCTGCTGGAAGACCCAACCTGTGGTGAGTTCACCTTTCCAGGCCCCAGGAACAGAGGCAGCAGGTCCCAACTGAAGTCTAAGTCTCTGAGATCTTCTCAAAGCATGGTTTTTAAAACACATTGCATTTTAAATTGTGTTGACATGGAGAATCACAGTGCTCAATAGCATGTGAAAGACTCCTTAAAGTCTTCTAGGAGAGAACTTTTTTTTGAGACAGGGTCTCCCTGTAACCCCAGCTGACCTGGAACTCATTATGTAGTCCAGGCTGGCCTCAAACTCACAGAGATCCACCTGCTTCTGCCTCCCGAGTGCTGGGTCTAAAAGCATACGCCACCACACCCAGCTGGAGAGAACTTTTTAAATTTTACTTAGCCCCATTTTCCACACTTGTTTTAACATGAATTATCCTAACATGAAATTTTCTTTATACTAGAACATCAATTGCACATATCCTACAGGGCACCATGGTCCTCAGTATCCACATCAGAGAGAAGCAAACTTAACCCATAAGGAGAAGTGATGTAGGAGAGATGTCACAGATAACCTGGCCCAGGTTTCCTGAATCCTGTTCACCGCTCTCTTCCTGCTTCTAGAATGTAAAGCACTGGGCTCTGTTCACTGTGGAATGCCTCAAGTGGCCCTCTATTCATCATTTTCCCTGGCCTCCCCAGACAGATTTTCATAAATTTTCACAGAGCCAGAAAAATGTCCCAAAGTCCCTACATATCAGTGTCCAATTTTGGAGCAGCATGAATTAGTGTGCAGTGATGTCCTGATTGCTAACAAGGAGAAGACAGTTATGAGGCTATGATTCTCCCAGGATAGTAGATCCCAGCCAAGCTTCAGAGTTGCCCAGGCAGCCCTGTGCCTCCTGTATTATCAGCTCTGGACCTGAGCCAAGAGGTTCATGGGGACTGATGAGTGTTTCAAATGAGAAAGGAGCTAATTAGTTCTCTTCATCCCTAGACTCTGGCAGATAAGTGAATTCAGTGCTTCTGAGTCAGAGCCACAGCACTGTCTCTGGGCAACAGCCACCCACGTTGCCCTGGAGATGTTTGTTTACTCTTTCTTCACCTGACTGCAAAATGGATTGGAGATACTGCCAGTAAAAAGCACAGGGGTAAAATTACTGCAATAAGTAAGAAGGAACACCTGGAAAGGATGGCTGGGAAAAGAACCTCAAGTTTAATATATTTACAGTGTCTGAACATTGTGTGACTCGGAGGTTCCTAGCAACCTGAGCAAAAAGATAAGTCCAAGGCTCACAAGTGAAAGAGAAAAGACCATTTTTGAAGAAAAAAACATTGTAAATAGTGTCCAATAAGGCATTGCATAAGTGAAGACTGTACTTAAGGCACTTGAACAATGAGAAAAGATATTTTAAAGGATTTTTATATTGTACACAACAGCCTTATGTTGGACTTCCTTGTGTTTATCTCACTATTAGGAATTTTATTTTTAGCTTTGCATTGCACGCAGGGATAGGTGAAGTGTTCAGATTCTGATCTCTCAATCCAGCCCTGGTATAGGATTCCGAACGTTTCCCAAGCTCAGATCTGCAGAGTGCTGCAGTGGATGAATGATGCCTGTGACAGCTTAGATTAAGGAAATGACGATGTCACTGGTCCTAACCCTCCCCATCCAGCCCAGCCTTAAAGCATCCTTACTATCTAGTAGAGAAAAGCATTAGACTTTCAAGAAAAGACAAATGGCTTCTGAAAGAAATACATTGTGTAGAATTTTATCAGTTGGGATTTGGAACAAGACATTGAAATATTTTTCACACTAGAGTTACAGAAAATGTAAAACCTATTTTTCTAACATCCTCTCTAGAATGCAAAGAAAGCCTAACTCAGCAGACCCAATGTGGTGAAGTCTGCTAATGAGATCCAGGTTTGTGCTGTCTTGGGACTGAACTTGACAAGAACTGAAGTAGATGACAGAGAGGATGATGGGTAGTCCAAGTCTTAGAGAACAGTTTCCAAAGCCAGTTGGTTATGTAGGCTGAGCTGGCTACAGAGAATATATAAGTGAAATTCTGAGCGCCCCAGTGCAACTTGAGATATCTCTTATTAACTTTCTAGACTATGACTCTGTTGCAAACAGATGTTTTTGAACAATTTCTTAGATCACCTGCCTTTCTTGGTGTCTTTCAGCTAGGCTTTTGAAGAAAAGCTGTTGAGAGCAGACAGTTTAAGGACTCATAATTATCATCTTCCAAGGCAGCCTGATAATGCAAGACCTCTTTCTCATCCATGTTCCTAGGGAGGGCTGGAAGGGGATTTCTCTTCTAGAACTATTGTAGGTAGTTACCTGGGAAGATTTCAGGGTGTTCAGGACAAGGCTCCCAACGTGTTTACATACAACTTCATGGGAAACAATGACTGTTTGACAGTGTCTGATATTGATGTGGAAAAGAAGCTGAAGAAAATCCAAGCCCGGACCCAAAAACATCTGGACTTGTATGCAAGAGATGGCCTGCGAACCCTGTGCATCGCCAAGAAGGTGAGGGTAGAGGCTCCAAATGTCAGTAGGTAGCTGAATGGCCCTCACTCTGTGTGTGTGTGTGTGTGTGTGTGTGTGTGTGTGTGTGTTGCACATGTGCAGGTCAGAGACTGACATCAGGTGTCTTTCTCAATCACTCTCCACCTTATTCTTTTGAGATAGTCTCTCACTGAACCTGTAGCTTGCCAATTTGGGTAGACTGAGTAGCCAGCAAGCACTGAGGATCCTCTGGTCTCTGCTTCCCCAGTGATGGTATTATGCCCAGTTTTTTTGCATGAGTTCTGGAGGATCAAATTCAGGTCCTCATGCTTGCATGGCCTATGCTCTCCTCCCAGCCCTGGCCTTTTTTCTTTATAAAAGACCCATTTTCAAGGCTATTCTTGGGGACTTACCCTGGGGTCTTACACATATTAAGCAAACACTCTACCACTGACCTATATCCTTGGGCTTTGCTTATTTTTTCTCAATAAATTTTTGAGACAGGATCTCATTAAGTTGCCCACACAAGCCTTGAACTTGTGGTCCTCCTGCCTCAACTTCCTCAGTATCTGGATTATAGGCCTGCACCACCACACCTGGCTAAGATTAGTTATTCTGACTCATGGCCAAGATCTATGATTATGTCAATTTGGGTGATGCAGAAATCTGAACAGGAAAATCACACATCTATGCTTTTACCAAGCCCTTCTTGTATTGTCTGTGTAAATGGGTAACCTCTAATTCATAAGCTAATTTTAATGTTATAATTGTCTTCTAGGTAGACTTCTAAATTTTGAATTGTTTGTCTAAATTGGCATTTGGAGCCTTTTTTATATGTTCACATGAAAATCTAGGTTTATGTCTTCCCTTGAAAATGTGGGTCTCAATTGGATGGCAGGAATCAGCATTATTATGGAGCAGCTGATCCCTGTGATGAGGGCCACAGCGATATGTTCAGCTGTGCTCTGCTCTCGCCCAGGCTCCCTACCTTGCCTTTTGGTTTGTCCTTGTCCAGATATGATCGTGTAGATTGCTTGCCTCATACTCTCGGATATTTGACATTGCATCCTATGCAAGATAGGCAGGCAAATAGGGCTTTGACCTACAGAGCAGGGACATCGGATGAGCTGTAGAGTGTCTACTTGGAGGGCCATGGTAAGCATACATTTCTAGATGACTAGAAGTGGTTCCTCCTCCACACACACCCCAGGGCCGCTCATCTGTTGTATGTTGTGACTAGAAGTGGTTCCTCCTCCACACACACCCCAGGGCCGCTCATCTGTTGTATGTTGCTTAGTATACCATAGAGATTCACCACCACACCCGGCCCATCTGGGTATTGTTGTATGTTGTGACTAGAAGTGGTTCCTCCTCCACACACACCCCAGGGCTGCTCATCTGTTGTATGTTGCTTAGTATACCATAGAGATTCACCACCACACCAGGCCCATCTGGGTACACATCCCAATCTTACCACTTGTATTAATTACTTTTCTGTTGCTATGACAAAACACCATGACCTAGGCAACTTATAGAAGGAAGAGTTTCTTTGGGCTTATGGTTCCAGAGGTGCAAGAGTCCATCATGGTGAGGAGGTGTAGTGGCCGAGGATGCTGGAGCAGAAAGCTCAGTGCTCATATCTTCAAGCACTTGCAGGAAGCAGAGAGGTAACAAGCTGGAAATGGGGCAAGGCTATGATCTCTTAAAGTCTACCACAGGTGATGTGCTTCCTCCAGCAAGGCCACGCCTCCACAAACAGTGCCACTGACTGAGGATCGTTTACTGAGTATGCAAATATTTGAAATATCCCTACAGGGGATATTTCTCATTCAAACCACCACACCACCTTTTGATGTGAGTGAGTTTCTTTGCTTATCTAAGTTTCATCTGTGACAGTATACTAACCTTAGCTCACACGTTTATAGAGATTACTAAAGGTTTTACTTGTGTCCCCTTGCTTTGCTCTATAGGGACATACAGAGGGACTTGAGGACTATTTAGGGCTTTCATAAAAGAATCATTCATTTCTAAAAGAGAATGGATGAAACGGAACAGTCTGACATGTCATGGACCCCAAGGGAGGAAGAACTGGCCTCTCTGCATCTTTGATACCGTGCCCGGTGAAGTGGCATGGAAAACACAGCTACTGTTATCCTTTCCAGTCTCATTTCCGGTCCCAGTCCTCTTTGCTTTCCAACCTTCCATTGACTGATACATTTAGGGAACAGGAAGAAGGTCAGATTCATTGCTGAATCACAATTTTTTGCACTTGCTTTTCCTCATGACTCCTTAGCTCTTACCTTGAATGTTACCTATCAATGGGACCTCAGCATCTAACAGAAAGCAATCCCCTTTTCTGCAGCTGTTCTCCAACCCCACCATACTCCATGATATCCTTTTTATTATCTGCATAGCACTCCTTGAAGTGATCAATTATTTTAATTTACTTATTTGACATATAGCTCTCACCCTTGACCAGCTTATAAGCAGAGGCATCCAAAGACCTGGTCTCTGTTGATCATCTCCAGTGCCCAAAGCATAGTAAGGATTTAGCAGATGTTTGGTGATAATGGAACATCAGGATGGACCAATCTTTCATTGATTTGTGCATTCAAAAAAAAAAAACTATGGAAAATTTTCCACCTAATTCTGTGAAGAAGTTCAAGCAGGCCTACTGGAGACTCAACAGATGAGGAGAGAGAAGAGATTCCACTTGTTGATGCACTCAAGGTTATTAACATCCCTCTTCCTATTCCGTAGGTCCTAAGCGAAGAGAACTTCCAAAGGTGGGCCAGTTTCCGGCGTGAGGCTGAGGCATCCCTCGACAATCGAGATGAGCTGCTAATGAAAACAGCACAGGATCTGGAGAGTCAGCTCACCTTACTTGGTAGGTAGAAATAAAGCATCATGACAAAAATGAAGAAAGGAAGGGCAAAGGAATGCTACAAGTTAGGAAAAGCATCCTGAACTCCCTGCTGGAAGAATCTGGCCCCTCCCCAAACAGCCAGCTCCTGTTTGTTGAGCACTTATGATGAGCCAAGCATCAAGCTAGGTTTTGCAGCTACAATGGGAAACAGGTACCACAGCCTCCGCCTTCCCTCAGCTCACAATCTAGCCTGGATACTGGAGGATTAAGCAAGTAATTTCATCACTCAGCAAGTGATGATAGCTGGGCTGGAAGATACACAGGATGGAATACAGACTCAAAATAGGAGTACCAACCTAGCACTGGGGCCAAGGAAAGAGATGTTTAGCAAACAGGGAGAGTACTCAAGACTGAGGGAGGGGACTAAACAAAGGCCAAGAACTGAGATCTGGGGTCAGGTAGAAATGCAGAGATCTGCCTTGGCTGCACCACAGAATACACAGGAGGACTGATGGGAGATAACAGAGGCCAGAGGGACCCAAATTCTGATGGATCATGTAAAACATATGTTGAACATTTCTTGGGTGCTTTACTAAAATCACTGGGCTGCTACCGTATAAAAAGGTTAGACTGATATGTTAGGGTCAAGATAAGAGCTGGTTAAGACATGTTGGCTGTCCATGGGAGGAAGAGCATTGCAGAGGAGGAAAGTAGAGCTTTGCTGATCAGAATTAATCTCCTCGTGCCTTGGGGGGAATGTCCATGTCTTTGACCACTCTTGGAGCCATTGGGATGGAAGACTAGCTGCAGGAGTGAGTTCAGGGATAGGAAATGTTCCCTAGCCGTCCTCTAGGAATGCATGTACTGGCCATGTAGCGAAAGGTCATCTTTCATCTTGGCTAGCAGTGCTGACTTGGGGATGAGGGCCAATTTCTTTCTTTATCATGATCTTACTATGTACCTATGACTAGCACCTCTCTGCTCTAAATAAACCATACCCTACAGGTAGCCAACAAGACAGGAGCCTGGTGGAAAATCCCCAAGGTATCTGTAAGGTGGAGACACCTTTCCATCTAAATAATAACGACAAGATTTCGTAGGACAGCTGGAAAGAAGGGGGAGAAATTTTTGCTGTCTAGCTTCTTCAGCCTTTGGTTTCCTGTGTCTTGGCTATATAACCTTTTGCTTACTGCCTCATAATCCCTGATATGTTTAAACCTGGACATGAGCATCATTTTAACAAGAAGTAGAAGGTGACTAGTCCAGATGACTCTACCCACCATACACGGCCACCAGCAGTCGCTCCATCAGGGTCCTCCCCTCTTTCTCACCTCCTGGACACATCTGTGGTTTCAGGGTGGAACCGAGTCTCAGGTAAAGAAAGTGTCCATCAGCTAGTTCTGGTGGAAAAGAACTCACTTGTCAGAACCTGTCAGCTTCCCTGTCTAGGAAAGGCATTCACAGCCTTCCTGTTTCATTTTCTCTTTCACACAAATAAATGTGTTTTTCCTCCTCTCGCCTTCACACAGCCACAATGTGCTGTAAATCAGCGTCAGAGCTCACCTTGCAGGCCAATCCTTGCACAGAAAGATGATGTGTAAGCCTTCACTTTTCATGGAGTTGTTTACCAGCATATTTGGACCTAAAATACAAAACAGGCACATTTGTAGAGATAGGTTCTGTTTGTCACCTCAAGGTGGCTTGGGAAAGTGACCTGGGGAGAGATTTCCTTTGGTCATCTAAAGTGCGACATGATCTTCAAACCGTCTCAAAATACGAACTGATTTTTCAATACGCATCCAATCTGGCTGCTTTGCCAACCTTTTGCTGCTGTTGATTATTCAAAGAAACAAAAATCCTTGCTTCTGCTGAAAGTGAAATGGGTAGCCATTCGTCTGTGGCCTGAAATGAATCTCAATTTAAATGCAGATTTCATTTTGCTTAAGCACTTAGCAACTATTTAATATCTGAGTCTATATTCATCAGTGCTGATGCAAAGCTTGAGATCATTCAGAAACGATGGCACCTGCATGTCTAATTCCCTGCAAGAATATTATTAAAACCAAATCCCTATGAATTCTGCTATGATCAGCTGCAGAGTGACTGTTTCTGTCTCTATTCTTATTGCCCTTGTGCCATCACAGGCCACCACCAGGTCCCCTTTATATTCCTGCTCAGCCTCCTAAGAGGCTCTCAACCCTGAATTTCGTCCTGTCTCCAGTCTCCAATCTACTCTCTAGAATGATCTTAAAATACAAACCTGAGCCAGGTGTGGTGGCGCGCGCCTGTAGTCCCAGCACTTGGGAGGCAGCAGCAGGCAGATCACTGAGTTCAAGGCCAGCCTGGTCTACATAGTGAGTTCCAGGCCAGCTGGGACTGCAGGGAGACCTTTTTTTTTTTTAAAAAAAAAAAAAAAAAAAAAAAAAAAAAAAAAAAAAAACCTGATCCTGTCCCTCTCCAATTTAATAGCTTTCTTTGCTACCAAATAAATTGCAAATCCCTCAAGGCCCTGATGTGACCCAGAAGCCTTTCTCCTCCCTCTCACACTCCCTTCTGTCTCTTTTATACTTACCTTCTGCCTCATCTTCTCTGACCTCTGGGTCATCACACATGCTGATCCCTCTCCCTGGAATTCTCTTCCTCCTTCACCTCCTGGATTGATCATCCAGACATGAGCTAAAATGGTCCTTCCTCAACAAATCCTGCCTTTGATTTTCTAGGTAAAGTTCAGTCTCCCGGTACATATTCATGCAGCACTCTCTGATCTTCTTTTACCATATGGTTCAATTAGAAATCTTCTTCCAGTTACTTTTGAGCTCTGAAAGGGTACAGATCAGCTCTATCCAGTTCGCAGGTGTATCCTGTGTGCATAGCACAGGCTAACACATGGAAGATATTTAATAAACACTGCCTGGCTGCATAGAGCTTTGGGGAAAGTAAGCAGCTACTCTTTTGCTGTAACTGAGCTCTGTTGTCTTTGATCACTCCAGGAGCCACTGGGATTGAAGATCGACTTCAAGAAGGAGTTCCAGATACTGTTGCTGCTCTGCAGGAGGCTGGGATCCAGCTCTGGGTCCTGACAGGCGATAAGCAGGAGACAGCGGTCAATATTGCCTATTCCTGCAAACTGTTAGATCAGACTGACACTGTGTACTCCATTAACACAGAGAATCAGGTAAGGCTAAATACTTCACACTGACATGCATAGCAGCCCCTCAGCCAACAAGACTCTCTTGGGTCTCAGAGGGTTCTAAAAAGCATCCAGCCCAATATCTAATACCTGGTTCCCACATTTGGTTGACTGGTTTCTTTTATATTGCTACTTGTAAGAAAGTTTAAGCACCCTACTTTACAGGTAACAAAGTTGAAATCTACCAGGGCTCAATCTGTTGCCCAGTTTCCCCCTCCTAATGTGTGACAGAACTAAGCCTAGTCCTCTGCTCTCCTATCAAGTTCACTCTGTTCACATATTACTACACTGTTTACTCAGCCTCAGTTGTCAGTTTCTTACCAGTTAAGATTAACCCACCTATTGAAAAGTTTCCACTTAAACTAAAGTTATTCTGAGTTCAACATCAATTTGTCTGTAAAATTGGGTTGCTGCAGAGTGGAATCCTAAGGGGAGTAATATGTGAAGCCAGTAGGTTTTGATGGGATGGGGGAGAGGAAGAAAGAACCAAAGTCCTAAAATAGCCATTTCCAACTAAAATAGTTATGGTTTGCAAAGAGTAAAGATTGGGAGAGTGCTGTGTGAAATCTGAAGAAGTGTTTTCCACACTGTCTTACAAGTTTGTATTCAGGAGGCAACTTCTATTTTCCCAATGCAAATTACAGAAAGTAAAGTTCCCCCATCTTGGCCAAGGAATATGGGAAGTGAGCACTGAGATGTATCTTCTGGTCAAGAGGGAGCAGGGATGGGAGTCAATGGAGGTTGTTGACAAGGGGAACTCTGTACTACAGGGGTGGTGGGAAGAGGAAAGGATGGGGAAGATGGTGAATAAGTGAAATTAGCCAGAGAAGGCAGAGAAGACTCTGAACTCTCCCTGTCCCCCAGCTTTGCTTGAGGCTGCTCTAGATCCCAGAATAGAACTTTGGGAAGATTTAATTTGGTTTTTATGCCATGAAGAAACCAGATACACACATTGTAAAAATGAGGTAGGGGGCGGTTAGGGACATGACCCAAACAGTAAAGTGCTTGCTTCAAAAGTATGTCTCCAAAAACCTACATAAAAAGGTGGGCATCACCTCAAGCTGAAGAGCTACAGGCAATCAGTGGATGATGAAGGAAGGAGTCTGCAAGGACTATCTCACTGAGAGCTTATCTAATCCCAACTGGGCAGCCCTAAGCACGGGTACATAGGCACACATCAACACCATTAAAGGACTCACTGCATTACGTGTGTTTGTGCGTGTATAACAATAATGAAGAGGATTAGAAATTGAGAGTGAGTAGGGGGACATGGGAGAACGTGGCAAGGAAACTGGGATGGAAATAATGCAAAGACAATACTCACATATGAGCCTCTAGAGAGGCTCTATAACTTGCGTTTCCCTTTAAGATACATATAAAAGACATAGTAGACCTTAATCAATTCTTAGTTAATTAGGTGAATTAAAATCTTTGGAAAAATAGCCACTGAATAGATGATTATGTCAAACTTGGGTTTAAATAAACCTAAGACTTAGAATGTATTTCTATACTTTCTGGTTTAACACATTTACATATTGACCACTTGGCCCCAGACTAAGAAGGACTAATCAATCTTACAGGTTTAGGGGGCTCTCGAGTGTAGATAGGTGTGAGGATTCAAGTACCATCTTAGAGGGTCCTGGACAGCTGTGAAGGAATTGACAGTGGTAGAGCTAAGGATTCAGTGACTAAATTCACAGTGACTTCGAGTGTGGCTCGTTATTCCTTAGGAATTTGATTAATCGACAAACATCTTCCATTTCCTATAGGAAGGCATCACATTGCACAGAAACCAGCCTACCCCTCCCTCCTCAATCTGGCTGCCCCACAGGGTTGCAAATATCCACCTTTGAGAATTACCTGGAGGGGAAAGGATTCCTGTAAATGAAATTTCTATCACACAGAATGCAGGCTTCAGCACCATCAAGAGATCCAGTACTACCCTGAGGTTATTTTTGTTTTAAAAATTCACCAGCATTTAGCTTAGTTATAGCACACTCTGTGCAACTAACAGAAAATAAATGATTTTTCCAATTCATCTAAAGGCTGAAAGCATGTTTTATAGTATATACTGCTGTGTGCGTGTGTGTACATGTTTGTGTGTGTGTGCAGGTGCACATGCGTGTGTTTTGAGGCAAAGGTGGGCATGATAGTGCTGGGTCTCTCATAAACCTGGAGCTCACCCTATTGAGCTAGACTGCCTGACCAGCAAGTTCCAAGAATCCTTTTCCATTTCCCAAGTTCTGGGATTACAGACTCAGCACTGCCATGCCCACTTTTTAAAAATTTTGCATTTTCTTTATTTTGGAGAATTTCATACATGAGTATTGTCTTTGCATTATTTCCATCCCAGTTTCCCTGCCACATTCTCCCGTGTCCCCCTACTCTTCCTACTCCTTTAGAACATGATATGGTCCAAATAACAGCTTCTGTAAGTATGGACTAAAGAGGCTTATTTAAAGAAAAAAAAAGATTCACAGGAGTTAAGACTAAAGAGGCTTATTTAAAGAAAAAAAAAAGATTCACAGGAGTTAAAAAGATGGAGGAGTGTAATTAGTTCCAAAATCTGATTTTATCTTTAATATAATTAAAAGTGATAGAAAATAATTGCTAAATAAAAATGACTTCCTCCCTGTGTTTCAAAGTAAACACCGTTTTTAAAAATCACAAGAACTGGTGTGGCAGTAGATCACCTGTAACTGAAGCACTCAGGAAGGGAAGCAGGAGGATCACAAATTCAAGGCCAAGCTACATACAAGATTATCTCAAAGAAACAAAAATAAAAACTACTAAGGACAGGGTGGAGAGGTGGCTCAGCAGTTAAGAGCACTGACTGCTCTTACAGAAGACCCAGGTTTGGTTCCTAGCACCCACGTGGCAGCTAACACCTGTCTTTAACCCCAGTTCTAGGGGATCTGATGCCCACATCTACCCTTTCTGGGCATCACATGCACAGGTGTACTCATATACATGCAGGTAAAACATTCATACACACAAATAAAAAAAATTAATTTTAAATAAATAAGGACATTCTTTTAATCTATAAGACTTTCACATTCATAATCCATTCAAACTAGTATGAAAAACATTTCATAGCACAGTTGTTAGGATTCTCTATGGAACAGAGAAATAGATAAACACAGGATAAAGGTATCCTTTGCAAATTAGGAGGCCACAGTTTAAGAAGTAATAATCCTGCCTTACTACTATGTTTGGTTGACGGGTAAATTACTAGAGAACTTATTATTTTAATTTTCTCATCTCTAAATCAAGATCAGAAATTCTATAAAAATGTGTAAAGGAGCAACAGAGAGCTTGAGTGACCTATACGAAATAGAAACCATCATATTTTACCACCATGAAATATTGTCAGTGTCTACCATTATGATAGTATTACAGTTGTTATCCTACATCAGCCTTTTTTTTTTCATCAGTTCCCATCCTCCTGAGCTGTTTCCACTAATATTCCCAATCACCATCTCCTATTCTGGCCATTAATTTGGTTCAAAATTAAAATGGTTTTATGTGACTTAAAATACTGCAGAGAAATATGAAAATTGGAGAATTCCTAAATCTCTATGGTGATATTTTAATAATTATCTTACCATAAAAAGGGTGAAATGTTAACATACACTTCCACAGTTGCTTACTAATACTATATGATATGATGCTCTATAGGAAACCTGTGAATCCATCCTTAACTGTGCATTGGAAGAGGTAAAGCAATTCCATGAACCACAGAATCCAGATCGCAAGTTCTGTGGGTACCACATACCATCTACGACACCATCTGTTAACTCAAGAACTACGATTCCTGAAGTTGGACTGGTCATTGATGGGAAGACATTGAATGCAATTTTCCAGGGAAAGCTGGAAAGGAAGTTTCTGGAGTTAACCCAGTACTGTCGGTCCATCCTGTGTTGCCGCTCCACCCCACTCCAGAAAAGTATGATTGTCAAGTTGGTGCGAGACAAGTTGAGCGTCATGACTCTTTCCATAGGTACTGATCATGCTGTTTTGTGGGTGGGATCTTGGGAGGGATAATCTGACAGAAGGCCTGGGCCAGAAGTGGAGGCTCAGCTGTGAAAGCCAACATGCTTAGGCTGCAGGTCATTATTGTGGTTAAAAATCACAATTGAGGGGCTGGAGAGATGGCTCAGCAGTTAAGAGCACTGGTTGTTCTTGCAGAAGACCCAGGTTCGAATCCCAGCACCCACATGGCCGTTAACAACTGTCCATAACTCCAGTTCCAGGGGATCCAATGGCCTCTTCTGTCCTCCACGGGCATTGCATGACACAGGTGCACTTACTTACATGCAGGCATAACACTCTTATGCATAAAATAAAAATAAATTTTTTTTTAAAAATTATGGTTGAGATGTTGCAGCTAGGCAGTGAAGCAGAGAACGGGACAGTGGATCAAAGCTCTTAGCTCTAGAAGATCAGCTAAATAAAAAATCAGAACTCAGATAAAGGTCAATGGCAACAGAAGCCAAGAACTCAGCATGAATGTAGCTCAGGAAATGTTGCTACCAGAAATACACAATCAAGACAGCTACATGCTAAGATACAGACCAGTTCCCTTCCAGAGCTTTACCAATGGCAATGCTTCAAGTGTCTATAGATTTGATATTCTTCTGAGGGTTGAGGGCTGATAGGGAGATTTCAAAACCGCGGATTCTCTCATTTTAATTTTGTATTTGAGTTTCTAAATCCAAGGCCGGCACAGAGGACATCCTCAATCGATGCTGACTGGTTGGTTGATGCTGAATTGCTTAGAGGAGCACGAGTTTTAATCACATCAAAGCACAGAAAATAAAAAACTGATCACAGAATAGCACCCAGGGATGGCCAGGCCTGGTTTGCAAGAATCTTCATGCTCCGGTCTCCACTAACACTCTTTCATGGCCACCTTCCCCTCACCAGCATTTGGCTCCTCATGTTCCGCCTAGATGAAACTGCTTGCTTTTCTCCATGTTCCTTCCTCCCTGCCCCCATCTCTGCTAGACCTTTGCATGAGCCATGTCCTTTGAAAAATCCCCCTGTTTCCACTCCTACTTCACTTGCCTTTCTCTGGGATTCCCATTCCAGTCACACCCACTGTACACAGGTCCAAGTTCTGTTGTACCATCCGTGACTGCCTCTGCAATAGAATGCAAGTTCCTGGACATACAGGGACAGGGTCTATTTCATTCACTGTTTGATCCCATGCTCAACACATACCATGCACATAGTAAACACAGCCACCACCGCCCCTCACACATCAACCACACACATTCGCCGTCAATGCTTCGCTTTCTGTGGTTTTAGTCACCTACAGCCGCTGAGGTCTGAAAGTGATAAATGGAAAGTTATAGAAACAGATGATTCTTAAGCTTAATTGTTGTATTATAGTATATTGTTCTAATTTACTATAATATTCCATTATTTTGTTGTTAATCTTTTATTGGGCCCAATTTATGAATTGATCATTATAAATGTACATACGCAAAAAACAGTCTGTAGGGTTCAGCACTATCTGTGGTTTCAGATATTAAGCAGAGATCTTGGGAGATATCCCTCCTTGGTAAGGATGAACTACATTGCTTCCACTTAGAGACATTTCTGCAGATGGTACCAGCCTCTCGTCTTCCTTCTGTAGTGTTTCAGAGATCTAGTAAATACCATGTTCCCCCCTCCCCAGTCTTCATGTGTAATATAAAAACTAAATTTTAAAACTGGTTAGGCATATACCTTTAATCCCAGCACTCTGGAGGCAGAGGCAGAGCCAGAAGGATCTCTGTGAGATAAAGGCCAGCCTGGTCTACATAGTGAGTTCTGGGGTTACAGGGAGACCCTGTCTCATAAAACCAAAGCCAGAGGGACAAGATACCTACTGCTAGTTGATGCATTCTAAACATGATGGGGAAGATATGCCAGTATCTCCATAGTATGGTATGGTAGTCTAATGAAATCTTCATAATGACAAAACCAGCTGATAGGGCAGGGGATGAAGAGCTACAGATAACCAGTGGATGATGAGAGAGGAAGAATCAGTTTCCTCCAGGGACTAGCTGCCTCAGAGGGTTATCTAAACCCAGACGGGCAGCTCTAAACCCAGGTAAACACGAGTACGACTATGTGGACTCAGTGCGCTGTGTATGTGTGTTTATAAATGTATGTATGTATATATAACAATAATAAAGATGATGACAAAAGATGATTAGAGGAAGTGGGAACATGGGAGGAGTTGGTGGGAAACTGGGAGGGATGAGAATAATGCAGAGGAAATACTTATGTATGAAATTCTCAAAAAAGTCAATTTTTTAAAAAAAACCTGGGAGGACCAGGCATGGTAGCACACACTTATAATCCAGAAGTTGGGAAATAGAGGCAGGAGGATCCTTACCAACAGAGAGCTTTAGGACAGTCTGGGATACATGAGATTCTGTTTTTAAAAAAGGAGTGGGAGCAGATCCTTAGCAACTACCCTCTACTTTGATACATGAATTATCCTCCTCGGTAATTCAGACACAAAACAGGCAATAATGCAGCACAGATTCTCTGAGGTCAGAGATTGGCTTCACTCCCATAGCAATAGTAACAAAACCAACAGTGCAAAAAATGGCGTGACTCCACACCTCTACTTCTCCTGTTCTGCAACAGAAGATGCTAAAGGTTAGATTTATTCCGCATGGAAGAATTAAAAGTATGCATTGCTAGGCTATCAAAAAAGAATCATTATTATAATAATAAACTCTACCTATAAAGACAAATGCTAGATTCTTTTTTTAATATTTTATTATCTTTATTTTATGTGTACAAGTGTATTGCCTACATGTATGTGAGTGCACCCGTGTCGTGCAATGCCGCAGAGGTCAGAAGAGGGCTTTGGATTCCCCTGAAACTGGAATTAAGGACAGTTCGTAGCTGGAAATTGAACCCAGGTCCTCTGCCAAAAGCAGTCAATGCTCTTAACCACTGAGCCATCTCTCCAGCCCCTAGATTCTTTTTTTAAGTTCTTTTTTATTTTATGTATATGCATGTATTGCCTGTATGTAGGTAAATGCACCTGTGTTGTGCAATGCCTGCAGAGGACAGAAGAGGCTGTCAGATCCCCTGGAACTGGAGTTAGACAGTTGTTAACTGCCATGTGGGTGCTGGGATTTAAACCCTGGTTCTGTGCAAGAACAGCCAGTGTTCTTAACCTCTGAGCCATCTCTCCAGCCCCAAATATTAGATTCTTAATTGGCACATAATTGTATAAACCTATGGGGTACACTATTGATGGTAACATTTTAAAGTTAAGTATACTTGTTGCTAAGTGAGAATTATTCTCTCTCTCAGTTCCGTATTTTCAATGATAAATAATGTAAACTTAATTGCAGCTTATTCTGAGATGCTACTAGGGAAAAAAAAGGGGGCCAGGAGAATACAGTCAACATAGTGTATAATAAGGTCAGCAAACCACAGCCCACAGGCTAAAACAAGCACACTACATGGTTTTGAATGAAAGCTAATAATAATTTCTATATTTTTAAATGTAAATGTTGTAGCTATAAGCTTCTCAGCAGTAACAATTTTATTTTGCTTTGTGGCTTGAGAAGTCTGAAATATTTATTATCTGCCCTTTAGTTTGCCGAGCTTTGACTTAAAAACTGAAGCATTAAGGGAGAATCAGGCTCTGCAAAGAGCTGACTGTACTCAGAGATAAGTAGAGAGCGGTATGTGGCTACTTATACCGAATTTCTCCAGCCACACTTCAGTAGCCATAATATGGCAGCAGTTTCTATATTGGACAGTATAGATACAGAGTATTCATCTTATCACAGGAAGATATTTAACATCCTGGTATAGGAGGGTGTGTGTGTGTGTGTGTGTGTGTGTGTGTGTGTGTGTATGTGTGTGTGTGTGGTATTTAATGGCCTTACCTCCAGTTTCCTTAAATAATTCAGTTCACTTCTGGGCATCATTCAATCTCTGATGATTTTGCTGTCCAAACAGTCCAGTTACTTTGATAAAGTAGAGATTCAAATCACACAAAGCTAAAGAAGGGTGTTGGTGCTTGTGTTAGTCTGTTTGTCACCATGATTAAGTATCTGTTATAAACAGTTTAAATGGAAGAACTGTTTTGTTGGTGTCAGTCCACAATTGGATGGCTGCGCTGCTCTCTCCTAAAGTGAGGCAGAGCGTCTTGGTGGATACATTAAGATTGAGACTCCATGGCAGGGTGCTTGCCTAGCATCTGTGAGGACCTAGGTTCTGTCTCTAGTACCACATACACAGAAAACTCATGGTAGTGGGAATGTAGAGAAACGGAGCTGCTTATCTCATGGCAACTGCGTGAGAGACAGGCAGGAACTGGCCTGGGAGACATGCCCAAGTCACCCATTCCCTCCAACCAGCCCCCTCCAACCAGCCCCCAATAATCCCATCAAATTATGAATCTATCAGTAGATTGATGCAGTGATAAAGTCACAGCCTCCATGACCTAATCAGTTCTCAGTGATTGGATCCAACTAGGGACCCAGCCATCAACATGTGAGTCTTTTAGGGGACACTTCGCATCAAAGCCATAAGAGCCCTATAATTGGAAAGATCCGAGTTCCAGTTCTCCTGCGTCTCTTCACTAGATAGAATTGCTCTTGCCAAGTCTCTATATTGGTCAAATTGCAAATTTTCTCATCAGTAAAATCCATTTTAGCACCAGAAAAGGCCTTTTTTATAAACTGTAAAGGATTACTCATAACTCCCTTGATCACCACTGAGGAAAAAAATAAGAAATACTCATTGAGTGATAAGGATAAAAGTAGGTCTTCTTGTTCATGGACAACACTTAGACTTTCAACTGAAATACTCTAGCAGTGACATCCTATGGGACTATATAGAGACACATTAAAAGGATTCAACTGGGTGCAAATGGGGCACTCTGAGCCAGCTCATCACTGAACAGTTGGACTAGGAATAAAGACATCACATATCTCTCTTTCAGGTGATGGAGCAAATGATGTAAGCATGATCCAAGCAGCTGACATTGGCATTGGAATATCTGGGCAGGAAGGCATGCAGGTATTGTGCCCTTCAACTGGTCTGCTCTCTGCCCTTCTTTATCCTTACTGGAGATTTGAGAAACATTCCACAGTGCTCAAGGGACTCTCCTTTGAACTTTATAGAATTCCTAACTGAAAGTCGGGGGTTTTCCATGGCTCCATGAGCTCCATCACCACATCCCACTGCTCAGTCCTTCAACAGTAGAGATCAAATATGTTTGATTTTTTACAAAAGGCAATGAGAGCTGTATTCCATTCTATTCTTTACTTATTTATTGAGACAAGGTGTCACTATGTAATCCCAGCTGGCCTGGAACTAGATGTGTAGACGAGGCTGGCCTCAAACTCACAGAGATCTGCCTGCCTCTGATTCCCCTGAGTGCTAGATATTCTAAGGCTGAAAAGCACCCAAAATAGAAGCCTTTGATTACACACATCCTTCCTTCGGCCTCCATAAGGAATGACTGACAGACAGAGGACATTTGAAAGCATTTTATTGACACAAATTATTTGATACACTTTCATAGTATACATAATTCATTCAAAATTCAGCTTGTTCAAGCTTACTAAAGTAAGATGCTTTTCTTTCCCACTTAAAACAGACCCCATTTTGTTATTTTGAACCATCAATGATTGTAGTCTCACCACCAGGGAAGATGTTGCACAAAGTTGTTGCTGAGAATCAGAAGCGGCCACAGAACAGTCCTGTCACCTTTTGGGCACTTACCCCATGCCAGCAATGATATTTCACATTTATTATGCATATTATCTCATGGAATTTATTTACTAATCACTACGAACATTGTGTTTTAGGGATTGTCATTTCATTTTTCAGTTAGGGAAATGGAGGCTCCAAAAGTGAAAATAACCTGGAAAAGTATCAGACCAAGATTTCTAACCAGGCATGTCCAAACATGTTTATTTTTATAGCATTTTATTACTTCTACTTTTATGTATATGAGTATATTGCCTGCATATGTGTAAGTACACCTGTCTCATACAATGTCCATGGCGGTCAGAAAAGGGCATCGGATCCCCTGGAACTGGAGTTATGGATGGTCATTAGCAGCCATGTGGGTATTGGGAATCGAACCCAGGTCCTCTGGAAGAGCAGTCGGTGCTCTTAACCACTGAGTCATCTCTCCAGCCCCAAAACCTCATATTCTTAAAAGTTCCTCTAGAGTGTGTCTTATTATGAATAATCCCAAAGGCAGACAAGATGGCACCACATAAATGAACTACCGCACATCAGTACCGTTGTTGAATGATTCCAATGGCCTGCTTAGGTGACCGAGGGTATTCGGGGGTTTGAGAATCACCTGCTGGAAGCTACAGTTCTCTGGTTCATCCCTAAAACAGAGCCTGCACTGGGCCTTAACAAAAGCCTGCCAGACAAATAGTTGGAAAAAATGGATCAAACTAGAGTGCTGGTCCCTTCTGGCTTGCCTTTCTTGGATTCTGGTAACATTTAGGTTTCTAAGAAGAGAGGCAGAGATGTCAGAATCCAAAGGTCTACCCAAGAGTGGCCACATAATGACAAGGGATCATTCAGATCCTCACAGCCACAGACATAGACTAGAGAACACTGTCCTCCAGAGAGTGGGGCATTGATGGCCATGAGTGGAAATGATGCCTCTGCTCTTCTCCTCAGGCTGTCATGTCCAGTGACTTTGCCATCTCCCGCTTCAGTCACCTCAAGAAGCTGCTGCTTGTGCATGGACACTGGTGTTACTCACGCCTGGCCAGGATGGTGGTATACTACTTCTACAAGAATGTGGTGAGTAGCCGCAGCGTAACTTCCCACACGGACCTCTCCATCCTTGCAAGAGTTCTGTCTTCATGGTAGTGAACCTTTGAGCACAAGGAAATCAGTTAGAACGAGCTGGATTTGGGATCTCAGGCTTGTCTCTTATAATCTCTTTAACTTTGGGCAACACTGTTCATTTCTCTAGGCCATAGTTTCTTCTATGATTTTAAAAAGGGGACTGGGGGATGCTAAAGCTTTGTGTGAAGTTATTGTGAGAAGTGGCAATGCCGTGTGGAAAGCACCTGGCACGTAGAGATAGCATGAATGCTAATGACCATGGATTCTGGAGTCAGGTACATTAGGTCCCAATCCATATTCCCATATTTGATAATGTCTCTAAACCTCAGTTTCTCCATCCATAAAATGCAGGTGGCAATAGGACCTTTCTCAAATATGTTCTCTGTTAGTCAGCAGTCTGTTACTGTACTAGGGTGAGCAACTTAAAATGAGAGAAGGTTTATTTTGGCTCACAGTTCTGGAGGTTTCTGTTCATGGTCCATTGATTGTAGGTCTGGGGTCTGTGACAGTACTATATATCCTGCTGATGAGGCCCCCAAACAAGTACACACTGAGGAACTAAAATTATCAGAAGCTCTTGTTTTAAAAGTGCATGATTAATAGTAGGTATAGAAAGCTATGAAAGCAGACCTGGACTAAGGGATGAAGCTAACAATTGAGTTTTTTATCACCTAGTTCAAGGACCTTTGAATGATCTCCATATGTCTCCAAATATGATTCTTCTTTATATAAGGAAAAATGGAGGATTAAGACCAGGGTGATGGAAGGCAAATACTTTAGCTTATAAAATTGTATATTTTTTCCTCTTGCTCCATTGTCCCCAAACTTTCAGACTCTGACACAGTCATCCTAACTCAGGAATGAGCCTCACTGTGAAAAATTCCATGCATATGTAAATGGAGAGCATGACAAAAAAATAATGTAAATCCAATCAACTGGATGGTAATATTATCTCAGCAAGTCTATGCAAACAAGTCACTCCAGTTGACTTGAAATCCACTCTGAGGATGAAAGATTATTTACTTAGAATTCAAAATACCCTGTTTAAAACAATTTTTGGCAGCCAAGGAATCATTCTTTTAAATAAGCACAGCGCCTTCTCTGCATTAAGTTTGTGAAACAGAAAGGAAACATCAGCCACAGTCTCAGAGCTTAAATGATGCTCATTTCTAGCACATCACCAGGCTCAAAATCATGATACTGATGCTACATTATCTCCCCACTGCAATTAGAGGGTGCAAAACTATGACTTCCAGAGGGGATTAAAACCCTGACTGCTCTGAACTTTGAACAATGAATTAATTACCATACTGGAGCTTCTTGGGAGGAAGAACAGGCATCCAATCTCAGCAACATGGTTATGGGGTTCAGTGTACTCCCTGCCAGATGCAAAGACTGAAACCAGGAGGAGTGGGAAGCGGGCAGCATCTCGCATGGCCTCAGGAAGAAGGATATACTCTGTAATGTGAAAACTTCAGGATGAGTGTCAGGGATAAAAAACAAAGATTTATTTCACCTATTCAAATAGCTACTGAATGTCTGCTCTGTGGTAGTTAGCATGCTAGATGCTAGACAATGATCATAGTGTGAATACTGAGCCAGAAAGTTTTCCCTGTCCTCCTGAGACTTGGTGTCTGCATTGGGGCAGCAAGCTTCTTTCTGCAAAAGCTAGAATGCACATGTTTTATTCTTTGTAGGCCATAGATGTCTAGAAGAATCTTAGTGCATAAATCCAAAGATGGGACCAGGAAAGACCCAGAGCTTAGAAACTTTGGGTGCTTATTTCTAGCTCTCAACATGGTCAAAGCTGAATATCTCAGAAACTTGTTTATTGACTGGGGCTAATCATATCATTGCTATTGTATTGTTATACATTATTTTAATTTTTTGCTTTATTTTTATTATATGTGTGTCCTAGTTTGTCTCTTCATTGCTGTGACAAAACTCTCTGACCACTACCAACTTGGGGAGGAAAGGGTTTATTTATCTTACATTTCCCAGGTCACAGTTCATCAGGGAGCCCAAGGGTGGCACCACCCACAGTGGGCTGGGCTCTGCCACATCACTCATCAAGAAGATTCCCCACAGACATGGCCATGGGCCAGTCCAATAGAGGCAATTCCCCAATTGAGGCTCCCTCAACCCAGATATGTCAAGTTGATACTAAAGCTATCCAGCACAATGTGTATGCATGCATGTATGCAAGTACACCCATGTTATACAATACCCATGGAGGACAGAAGAGGTTGTTGGATCCCCCAGAATTGGAGTTATAGATGGTTGTTAGCCATCATGTGGGTGCTGGGATTTGATTCTGGGTCTTCTGCAAGAACAACCAGTGCTCTTAACCACTGTGCCATCTCTCCAGCCCCATATTAATATACATTAATAATAGTGCTATTAGCAATAACCTCACAGGTGGTAAAGACAAATTATAAGGTGTATTACATATCTAATTCACTATATAGCAATATGGTGATGTGCTATAAAGGTGTATCTCACACACGGTGCACAAAGAAGCTGTGGTGGTTTGGACGAGAAGGGCCCCCACAGGAAGAGTTCATAGCCTTGTCCCCCTTTGTTTGTCTGATTCCTGCATGCACTTGATGACATGAGCGCTCAGCTTTCTGCTCTAACTGCCCCTGCTGCTGTGCCTCCTAGCCATGAGAGGCTCTTATCCCTCAGAGCCATAAGCCAAAAACACTTTCCTTCTATAAGCTTCCTTGGTCTTGCTTTATTGTAGCAACAGAAAAGGAACTAATGCAGAAGTCAAAGAAAGGACTGTAGCTACTATTAGAATGAAATGATAATGTTCACATGTTAATATTAGAAATACTAATAGCCTCTTGAAAATAAGAGATCATGTCATGTGTGGTGGCACACACCTTAATCCCAGTTCTCAGGAGGCTAAGGTAAGAGGACCGAGAGTTCAAAGTCAGTATGAGATACCTAGAAAGACCTTGTCTCAAAAAAAAAAAAAAAAACAGAAACAATGACCCAGGAGTTAAGAAATGAGTGCTGATTTGACACAAATCTCCTCAGTAATTTCTCGTAAGACACCCATGTCTTTGCCTCAGACCTGGAATTTCTCAATTTCATGGAGAACCAAAATTAGATCAATGTACAAGGAAAATGAAAAACATAGAGAGGCGTGGTGGCACACTCCTTTAATCCCAGCACTCGGGAGGCAGAAGTAGGTGAATCTCTAAGAGTTTAAGACTAACATGGTCTACATAGTGAGCTTCATCCCATTCATAGTGAGGGGAAAAAAGACATCTAAAAATATTTTAAGTTGGTTGATCTAGTAAAGTGAAAATACTACTAAATATAGAGAGGAGGAAAAAGGAAACAGCAGGCAAAAATAAAAAATAACCCAAGGCGGGGGGGAGCTGCTGAAAATGCATAGACTGTACTGAATTGGTAGATTAAAAAAGAATCACATTTTAAAAGTAAAAAAAAAAAATGATGAAGCACCTTTCTGGGTCCATAAATTAAGGATTACTAGTTATGCATGTAGAGGGGACAAGGGTCGGTGTAGCTGTGAACTCTTAAGCTTTCCTATGGCTCATGATGTTTCTGAGTCTGAGTTCTGATGTCTCAGAATGCCTGTTTTCCTTACTTTGTTTTGCATTCTACGGCTGTGGCTGTTCAGGTTCTCTCACTCTGGGGTGGCTGCTTTAGTGGCAGGGGTGGGGGGTCTCCCAAGCGCATTGGGAATGTGGGAGCTGTGGTTACAGAACTGGTATAGGCAGAGGACCCACCTTCATCGTTTCAAGGCCTCCTCCGTATTAATCTCCCTGTTGTGGATATCATGCTCAACCAGGGAACTTCAGAGGTCTTGGGCTCTACAGTAGGTAGGTAGCTCCAGAATTTGATCTAACCACTGGCCTCAGAGCTATCACCAAACTAAAGAGTAATTCCCAGTTGATCAAGTCGTCTTTTCTTCCCCTTATGCTGTTCCCAGCCTGGGCCACCCCCCTTCAGCTGGTCAGTGTCCAGCGTTCCTGCTCTCCACAACTACCTCTCTGGGCCTTCCCTCACCTAAGGGCCAAATTGAGGCCCTTGATATAAGGCGGTCCCTGACCTCAGGACCCCAAGGGAGCTCAATTTTTAACACTAAATTTACTTTCGATATGGCACATAGTTGCTGTCCTTAGAATCATACGGTGTGGCAAAACGTTACTTGTTTCCACGGCCCACCCATCGACTGGAGGAATCACCGTCTCACCAAAGCACCTTGAATTTGAAACTCATGTGGGCTGTCAGCTTGTCATGAGTTGTGGAACTGCCTGGATTTCATGTGGTTTAGCTTTTGGAAACAGCTTCTAAATGCCCTCCCTCCACCAGGGTCCTCGAGCCAAGGCTGTGTGTGTCTTGCTTCTCTGCACAGCGCATCTCTGTTCTTGCTGTTTACCAGTATCCTTTCACTTCCTTCTTGCATTTCCAGAGATGTTCCTCTGTTTCTTACTCTTCCTCTCACAGAGGCAAACTCTAGTCCACTATCTGACCTAGAAGTCCACAGATTTCTATCACCCACTCCCCCCTTGCTTCTTTTATTTTCATGGGGCTACCATTCATGTATTAGTGCCCTGATAGGTAACAAAATGATTTTCAGAAAGATTAAGTCATTTACACAAAATCTCACAGTCATCAAAATACCTGGGGAACTTTAAACCAGGCCTCTCTGCTTCCCCAACCTGGGCTCTTCACCATCACACTATAGGAGTAGTATCATACATTTAACACACTACAGGAGTCCTCTTCAGGTCCTGAAGAACATGGATAACATCGGCAGTAATAGCAATAGAATTAGTAAAAGCATCTGCTTAGAGGGTTGTTAGCCCAGTCTGTCCATAACCCTGCCTGCTGTGAATGAGGAGTCAGAAGCCAAAGAGCGTAGGTGACTTGCCAGAGCCGCTAGGCAGCAGCTGACAGCCCGAGGCATGCCGGGACCTGACTCACGAAGGCACACTTTCTGCCTTGCAGTGCTATGTCAATCTGCTCTTCTGGTACCAGTTCTTCTGTGGGTTCTCCGGCTCCACCATGATCGATCACTGGCAGCTGATATTCTTCAATCTCTTCTTCACTTCCTTGCCTCCCATTATCTTTGGAGTCCTCGATAAAGATGTGTCTGCAGAAACACTCCTGGCACTGCCTGAACTTTACAAGAGCGGACAGAACTCTGAGGTGAGGGGCTTGGGCAGGAACAGGATGGGTGCCTTCATCTTCTCCCTGACTTTGGCAGGTTCCCTGCAGGTCAGAGAAAGAGCACTGGGCTAGGGGTCAGAGGCACTGTGGCACTGGCCACAACTCAGTCACTGACTTCCCATTCGACTTTGAGCAACCCAGCCTGTTTCTCATTTGCTGCTAAGAGTGTTGGACAAGACCAATGAGTATATTTTTAATAAGCTCTTAATTATATCACAAGTTAATCTGTGATTTCCCTAGCTAGAGGCGGAAGCACATGCAGAAAGATCCCATCCCTCCAGGTTGTGAGGTACATCAAGACCTCATTAGGAGTCCACTTTCTGTTTCTCTAAAAAAATACTAGAGCTAGGTAATACTTAACCAGATTTTATTGAGCTCATAATTTTGAGACTAAAAGTCTGAGATAAGGAAGCTCCATCTGTTCGGCCTCCTTGGCTCCATCAGAAAATGGAAATGGCCTCGTGGTGGGAATAAATTCAAAAAGAGATCACCTGGTGAGAGAGGAGGCTAGTGATATTCAGGGCTGAGGCTTGCTTCTAACTCTCCTGGGAACTTGCTCACTGTGCAGCCAGCAATAATCACTTCTAAGAAAGCACCTTCAGTTTCCTAACAACCTCCCCCTAACCTCTACCACTTAAAGATTCTGTCACCTCCCAACATTGCCACACTGGGGTCCAAGCCTCCAACACCAAAGCCCTTGGGGGATGCATTCCAACCATGTACAAACCGCAGCACCTGGTTTGGGGACCCCTATGACTAACAGCTGGTTTGCTCATCACTGGGTAAGGCACTCACAGATGAATGCTTCTACTTCACACAGAGGAAGGCAGAACTTAGGCTTTAAGAACATAGAGCTAGAACTTTCTGGAAGAAACCATCAGGTGAGTTTCTGGAAAGTTCAGAGAGGCTACTCTGCATCTCTGAATGATTTGAAGACATAATCCAGGAGCTCAGGCTAGTCCAGGCACAGACAAGGAGGAAAGAGGAGACAAAAGCAACATTGGCTAGTTTCGGGAGAGTGTTTCAAAGTACAGTACTTGAGACCTTGGACAAAGGAAGGCAAAGCCATACGTGGTGTTTAAGAGCTGTTGATTTTTTTGTACACAGCCAAAGCATTAAGCCAAGTCCTAACCCCAAGACAGAAAAGAAAGAAATACATCAGCCCCAGTAGTTAACCTAAATTAGTATGAAACGCAGATGGGGGGATAGCAAAGCCCAACTCGGGCTCTTCTACTTTGACTTTTACTTTTCCCATAGGTATGCTGGCTGCATAATGTAGACCTTGGGTATCTACCATTCAAATAAAAATCTTATGCAGTAAAACATGTTTTCCTTTACCCAGGAAGGTAGAAGAGGGAAGCACAAAATGAGAAAGCTTATCTCTGAAGCAGCTGGCTCTGTGTCTTGGGAGCCATGATCCTGATCTGTGAATGAGCTCTCCCTCAGATGGCACTTAGTAACTTTAGACTGCCTACATGCACCGAGCTTGTAGCAGTATTCGTGATAGAGCTGATGAACAGTAGTAATAGCACTTTCTAGATACCAAGGCACAAATACATTTAGTGCTCTTGAACTCCACATTTTATGGAAAAAGAAACCAGTTTTCAGGAAAGCTTGTGATTTTCACAAGGTAACATGTGAGTGGCCGAGCTGGGACTCCATTCTTCTACAGCTCAGATGAGAGGTATTCGAAGTGTCATGCCATTGGCCAACCACACACAAGGAAGATGCTTGCAAAGATCAGAGGCTTGCCTGGAGGCTACTAACTACAGGTGTATTCTTTGCTGGCAGAGCTACAACCTATCAGTATTCTGGATTTCCATGGCGGATGCATTCTACCAGAGCCTTGTCTGTTTCTTTATTCCTTACTTGGTAAGTCATATAGTCCCTTCCTACTCACCTAAATTACAGTGTGAGGTTGGTCTTAGTGATATAAAATTCCAAACAAATGGTGTCTTTATATAATTCAGACTCCAAATTCATGATTGGTGGTATCCAACACAGTGTTTAAGGAGGTGTTTACACTGGGTTATTATCCTCTTGTGGAAAAAAAATCTAGTGTTGACTCATAGCCCTGCTTAGATGGGAATCATGTTATAGGAGGCCAAGGTCACCAGTGTTCCCCTCTGTCTTACGCCTGGATTTCTTCATTCATTTATTGAGTCCTTCCTGTATTTGAATTTATGACCCTTGACTTACATAGATTTGTATTTCCAAGGCTAAGTCAGCAAGTTTTGTTAATAAAAGATACATTATCTTAGACACCAAATGCACAGGGAACTTGTCATCATACCAGAGGCCAGTATGTGAGCCAGTACGTCCCACTAAATTTTCGGCTTCTCGCTGTTTGACCCACCCTCACTTTTTTCAGGCTCTCTTGCTCAGAGCACTGTGGGACAAACCACATAACATACTTTTAACTGAATTTTTCATTTTATATCTTGGGTAGGGAGGGAGGGAAATGGAGGAACTTACAAAGACAGGAATACCCGAAACTCAGCACTGTGGCTGGGCCTGTTCTAGATCCAGATCGTTTCATGCCTGCCCATAGTGTCCCTCAACTTTCACCCACGCATCTTGGGCCCACAGTCTTGCCCCAGGTCAGTAAATGCCCCCTTTAGCGGCCACGTGGGTGCCAGGCCATCTTTCTCTCCAGGCGCCCACTGCTGTGCTCCACTCCGGCTTCTGTCCCAAGATGACACCCAGAAGCCCCTCCATGGCTAACTCTCTGCAGTCAATTCTCCACAGCAGGCCCTGCCTCTTGGAGGAACCAGGCCCCTGGGACACAGAGTGTCACCAGCTAAACAGTACTAACCCAGCCTCTGACCTCAATTTTGTAGTTAGCATAAGCCAGGAGAGGCAGACATCTTCTAAACCTCCTTCATATTTCCTGTCATGCAATACCTCCCTGACCAGGCCTCTTCTTGCATCTCCTGCAACAGAACTTTGCAGGACTCTTGGGAGTTCTGTATCCACCCTACTCATCCCTAGACTTGACCTCTGCCTGGACTGTAGTTCCTGTTTCTTAATCTGGTTTTAGCTGATAAACCTCTTCCATATTCCCAGGGTACCTAATCCATTCCTCTACCATAGCACTTACCTCTTAAAGTACATCACATCTACCCTGCCTAATAGACCATAAACTCCTTGAAGGTGGACATACATATCCTCAGCAATAAGCATAGAACCTAGAGAACCACAGTAGTTTCCAAACCCTCACCTGGACAAACATGTTTCTAAACAATTTAATCCCATCCAGGCATTTACCATCTTGGTCAGTTCACCTCACCCTCTTCTCTCCTTTCCTTTGATTCTTGTCTTTATTGATGTTTTATAATTATTGTTTCAAAAGCACACCCTTAAGTTCCTGTCTGCCTACCTAACAGTACCTGTTTGTTCCTCCTCTGCAGACCTACAGAGGCTCCGATATAGATGTCTTTACCTTTGGAACTCCAATCAACACCATCTCCCTCACCACCATCCTCTTGCACCAGGCAATGGAGATGAAGACATGGGTAAGGGTCCCAGAGCCTGTTTGGCTTAAAAATTGTGTCCTTGTTCATTGATTGCACTCAAAGTTCTGAGTAGCTCCACTCTGTGCTATTGGTCCACTCAGTCAATCCATTCTGAGCTTCTAGCTGTGCCTGCCTGTCTGTAAGACAGTGAGACTGGTGAAGATGCTAGCCTTCCTGGCCTCAACATACAGCCAGGATGATAACACTGACCCCCCCCCAATAAAGTTCCAAATAGTTCCCCCAATAGTTCCAAAACCAGATAATAATGATGGACTGCTCAGGACTGTTGCGGATAGGAAAGGTTAGCCTGAAGTTGTATAGACAAGACTATTACCATTTAATTTTAAGATACCACATCTCAAGCAAGTATCATATCTGAGAAGGCAGGCTGAGGAGATGGATCAGTCAGTGGTGTGCTTGCTCAGCAAGTATAAGAACCCGAGTTTGAGCCCCAGCATCCACATGAAAGCCAGACATGGTGCACATCTGCAATCCCAGCACTGGGGTGGTAGACATTTGGTCTAGTTTAGTCAGTGAACTTTATTGTCCAGTAAAAGGCCCTATTACAAAATACATGGTCGAGAGTGATTGAGGAAGCTACTGGACGTTGACCCCTAGCCTGCAGACACTGACATATACATGTGTACACACATATTAAATAATAATGAATAAATGCAATGCCACCTCGCTGAATTTTCTAGTCAATAACAACTATAAAGAGCTTAAAATTACAAGCCAAGTATTGAGCTACATGATTTGCATATATTACCTCATTTAGCTTCACAGAGCTCATTGGTTGGATCTTTTATATTCCCACTTTACAGATTTAGAACTAGATGCAACAAGGTTAAGAAACTGGTTCTAAGCAGTTCAAAGGAGAAACAAGTTTTGAACCCTGGAAATCTGACCCTAGAGTCTTTAACCAGCTTGTTAATAATGTATGTGTTAAACAGATTTAATGGTATGTGAAAACCACAGTCCAGAAAGGTCTGTCCTTAGTCTCATTGAAATGACTCTCTCTGAAAGCATATGTACTAAAAGTTTGAAAACGTCCCCAAGTAGGCTCAACATGAGGGAATTTATCCCCCACCTCCCACCACAGTCACAGGCTCTAGACAGTAGCCAACAAGAATTTGAAAGAGAATCTTAAAAACCATCTTCCGTAACAGAATTAGAAATAAGCAATAACAGGAAGCCAGAGAAGACTTTACCTATTGAAAACAAAAGGATGAAAAAAGTGCAACTTGAGGAACTTAAAAGAAGAAAAACATGTGAAAAGGTTCAAGCAATGATAAAAAGAAAAATCAGTGTGATGACAAAGTGTGATCCACAAAACTTCATTAAAACCAAACTCTAAGCAGATTCAGGAGACAACACAGAACCATTATAGTAATTGGGGTGATGACACTCTTCTGACCTCCGTGGCATTGCACAACACAGGTGCACTCACATACATGCAGGCAATACATTTGTATACATAAAAAATAATAAATTTTTTTTAATTTTTAAAATTTTTTAATTGTATGTTTTGAAATTTTGTTAAAACCTAAAATTTACCAAAATGTCAAGATCACGCAACAAATAAAAATACGCTAAATCCTGTCCCCAAAAACATTAAACCGAGAGAATTTTAGAAATCTTTACCTAAACTTAATGCACAAGCAATTTCTATTTTATATCAATTTTTTCATGGACTAGAAAAACCAAGGAAAGATACATGTCTTAATCTGTTTATGTTGCTGTAAAAAAATATCTAAAAGTAGATAATTTGTAAAGAATAGAACTTTTCATGTTTCTGGAAAACTCAAAGTCCAAGATCAAACCATTGACAACCTCAGTGTTTTGGGAGCAAGGAAAGGGGAGAGGGATTGCTCTCTAACCCCAAGATGGTTTGTTCTTACTGCACCCTCTACAGGTGGGGGAGGCAAAGGGATGAACACTAAAACACTGTGTCCCCTCAGTAAAATAGCAAAGGGCACTCCCTACAATTATAAAAGCATTAATCCATTCATTGGACAAAGCCCTTCTGGTGCAATCATGTCCCCAAAGGTCCCGCCTCCTAGTGCTCTCAAATGAGGCCTTGAATATATAGACACATCAGAACTTTAGAGGAACACAAACATTCAAACTATAACAATGTATAGTCCATGGCTAGAGTAACTGTAATGCCACATGAACATAGGCAGCTCAAGGAAAGAAAATGCTACAATGATTTCACTAACATAGCTGTTTTAAAAAATCCTGAATAAATAGCAAACCAGCTCAGCAGTGTGTTAAGAATAGAAACCTATAACCAAGGAACTCTCACTACTCTAAAGGGTGATTCGAAAACAGCTGGAAGAGTTTAAAGAACTTATCGCCTATGACAGAGTATCACTTCTAAGTATGCACCCTGCAGACAAGCCTGCACGTAGGTAAGGAAATACATCTGAGTGTGTTTGCTGTGGCACTGTTTTTAATAGAAAAAAATCCAGAAAGAGCCTAAAATGTTCATCAACAGGAAAATCCACTGTGGTACATTCATAACACAGAATACGCATAGGCCCAACTTAAACTTGGATCTTTCCCTGGGCTAGCAATATGCAGTGGGACACTCTTGGTAGGAGCTTTGTAATCACAGTGGTAAGCAATCCATTTTCTACAGGGTACTGCACTGCTAAGCTGTGATGTTCAGGGATTAGGCATCATATGAAGCACTTGCAGCTCACAATATTTTCTACTTACAATAGGTTTATATGACAACCTTGTCATAAGTCAAGGAGCATCTGCAGTCAAAATGAGTAAGCTAGAAATAGATCATCAGATTATACTGTTGAGTGAGAGTTTGCAGAATTACCTTCGTCTGCTCAAGCTGTCATAACAAATGCCATTGATTGTGTGGTTTAAAGACCCAAAGGTGATTTATTACAGTTTTGGAGGTTTGATGTCCAAACTCAGCATCTTGGTCTAGCCATTGTCTGGGGAGAGCCTTCATCCCAGATGGTATACAGCTGTCTTTTAGCTATATTGCACATCACTGGGAGGAAGAGCAAGCAAGAGAGGTATCTTTTATTTTGTATCTTGTCTTATTCATGAGGGGTGCTAAAACTACCTCCTCAGAGCCCTATCTTCAAGTACTATTATGTTGAGGTTTAGCACTTCAACATATGAATATGGAACTAGACATAAATATCCAACCCATAATAAGCAAAAGGGATACATACTTACGATAAAGTAAAAATGTATCCATAAAGACAGGTATAAACATGTTGGTAAAATATGCATAAAAATTATGAACACTAAATTTATATTCAAGATTAAAGGCAGGCCATTTGCAAGAGATATATGGGCATTTTAATTGTATCTATAAGATTTAGTATGCGTGAAAGATTTCAGTAATTTACAATTCTAAAAACCAAGATATTCCCCCCAAATAAACTCTACTGTATAGAACCTGCTTAATCATTATATCTTTTTTAACCTTTCAAAATTCCTTCTCCGTGTAATCAGGCCTTGTTTATTTGGGAGTTGTGATAATGGGACTGAATAGGGCCCTGTGCACACTAAGCAAACACCATCAGTAAGCTATATCCCAAAACCTTTTAATATTTTGAAACAGGGTCTCACTAAGTGGTATATACCAGCCTTGAACTCAGAATTCTCCTACCTCAGTCTCCTGATTAGCTGCAGTTGGAACCTGTCAATAGTAAATGGTATTCAGAGTAAACATTCAGTCCCTTCTTCCAAACTACTGTATCCATCTGCTTTTAAAGAGAGGACAGACTACTGGGTGTGTTGCTGCACACCTGTAATACCAGCTCTCAGGAGGCTGAGGTGGGAGATCACAAGTTGAAGGGAAGCCTAGGCTATGTAGTGAGATCGTCTCTTTAGAAAACCAAAAAGGAAATATTGTTTTAGCATCATTTATCCACCTAATGTAGCTCTAGGCCAGGTTCCACAGTAGATATCGGGATTTCTAGTACTCTCTGAAAGGAGTCAGCTACTAAAATTATTAGGAAAAACATATCTCCTTTTTGAAAGTTGTTGAATCAGGGAGAGTCTATCTCTTCTCTAGGTCAACATAAATCCAAATTTTAGGGCTGGAGAGATGCCTCAGCGGTTAAGAACATTGGTTGCTCTTGCACAACACCCAGGTTCGAATCCCAGCACCCACTTGGGAGCTAACAACTGTCCATAACTCCAGTTCCAGGGGATCTGACAGCCTCTTCTGACCTCCACAGGCACTGCACAGCACGGGTGCACTTACCTACATGCAGGCAATAGATGCATACACATAAAATAAAAACAATAAATTTTAAAAAATTTAATAGCTGAGTTAGTTTTCACAACCCAACTGGGTAGAGCAACATGGATGTTTGCTTTATAAAGACCCATTAAGCTGTTCATTTTTGTAATGTTTGACGTGTGTATTCTATTTCAAAAATATTTAAAACAAAGTTAACTGAGTAGTGCTGCTCCCTAATCTAACAGATCCTCCAACGGCCTCTTCTTTGTCCCCTGCAGACTGTCCTCCATGGGCTCATTCTCCTCGGCAGCTTTTTGGCCTACTTCGTGGTATCTCTACTGTACAATGGTACCTGCGTCACCTGTAACAGCCCAACCAATCCCTACTGGGTGATGGAAAGTCAGCTCTCTGATCCAACATTCTACCTCGTCTGCCTCCTCACACCAGCGGTGGCTCTTCTCCCAAGGTTTGAGTTCTTAGGCAATGTCTTTCAAACTCCCAACTGGTGCGGGGTATGGTAGTGCACACCTTTAATCCCAACACTCAGGAGGCAGAGGCAGGCTGATCTCTGTGAGATCAAGGCCAACCTGGTCTACATAGTGAATTCCAGGTCAGAAAGGACTGCAGGGAGGCCCTGTCTCAAAATTTTAAATAATTGATTGAAACTCCCAATTAAAGCTGGAGAGATGGCTCAGTGGTTAAGAACACTGGTTGTTCTTGCAGAAAACCTGGGTTCAAATCCCAGCACCCACATGGCAGCTAACAACTGTCCCAGGGGACTGTCCCAGTCCCAGGGGATCCAACAGCCTCTTTGGTCCTCCACAGGCATTGCACGACACGGGTGTACTTACCTACATGCAGGCAATACATACATACACATAAAGTAAAAATAATAAAAAAAATCTGTTCATCTTCTACCTTTTTTAAGTTAAATAAATAAATTTTTAGACTCCCAATCTCCCCCTAAGGACTCGATTCTCAGAACTCAGGTATATTAGCCACACTTCTCCTTGCTGTGACAAAATACCTGACAAACGCGACTTAAAGGAAAGAAAAGTTTATTCTGGCTCACAGTTTGAGAGCAAAGTCTGTCATGGTAGGGAAGTCAGGACAGCAGGAATGTGTCACAGCTGATCACATCGCATATACAGTCAGGAAGCAGAGAGAGGTGAATACTGGTGCTCGGCTCACTTGCTCCTTTTTTATTCAGCCCTGGACCCCAGCCCACATTCAGGGTGTGTCTTCCATCCTCAGCTAAACCTCTCTGGAAATGCCCTCATAGATACACCCGGAGGTATTCTCTGTAAAGATTCTAAATTTAGTCAGTGACAATGAAGATGAACCATCACACTAAGAGCCATGACTTGTCATTTAATGGGAGCTTTGAGCCTGTTTTCTAGAGGCAACGTGATAGGAAAAAACAATGAGCCAAAGAGGTAAACACCACCAACCCTAGTCCCAGTTCAGCCACAGTGCTTTAGTTGTGACATCTGTAATATGAGCATAATAATTCTACATCCCTGACTCACAAATTTTTATGTGGTAAGGAAGCATTTTTAATACTTTATTATTTTTTTATTATATGTGTATGAGTATTTTACCTGCATGTATGTAAGTGCACCCATGTTATGCAATGCTGTGGAGACCAGAAGAGGGTGTTGGATCCCCTGGAACTAGAATTACAGATGATTGTGAGCTGCCATGTGGGTGCTGGAACCAAACCTGGGTCCTCTGCAAGAACAGCCAATGCTCTTAACCACTGAACCTTCTCTCCAGCCCCAAGAAACATTCTTAAAAAACTGTTTAGTCTTTTTCTGTTAGCCAGGGAGTCTCACACCTCGGTGCCTGTCCGAGAGGCAAGCAGCCCAGCAAGCCACATGAAGTATAGCATGGAAAGACAGAACTTCTTTCTGTTGTCACAGGAAAGATCTATGAAGCAATGCAGAACTTCCTATTTTTCTCAGGGATTTAAATTTTGCATAAAATAGCCAACGTTTTAATATCACTTGAATTTGTTTAAAACACAAAGACTCTGTTAGCCAGATAAATCATTCATACCCACATACTGTTTTCTGACATTTCTAACCTAAAAACTTCTACTTTCCCCTTTTCCAGGAAGAGTGAATAATAACGCCTCTCTGCGGAGCTTACATTTGATGCTCATTCTGTGTAGTGTCACAGTTTCTTTTTTCTGCCACAACGTAGGCAGAGCTATGGTTCTCATCCTACTTGTTTATAAGAGAGAGCCTTGCTCCCACTGTAATTTTGCTGGTCTTATGGATACATCAGGTACCTCTTGGACTGCCACAGCAGTGAAAATGACTGGCATCCACAGAGAATCCTTAGCATGTTAGAATGAGTGAAAATTTAAGATTAACATAAGCCTCAGAGAATACATTTTCCACCCTGCCCCTTCTTCAGCACAACCCTAAGAGGGACCATGAGGATCAAGCCTCTGTTGGAAAACGTCATTAGAAATGACAGACATTTTTGTGTGTGTATGTATGTGCATGCCACGTAGGAGCAGGTTCTTGTGGAGGCCAGAAGAGGGCACCAGAGCCCCTGATCTGGAGTTACTAGTGGTTGTGAGCTGCCTAGCACAGCTCCTCTGGAAGAACAGCAAGCACTCCTAACCACTGAGCCATCCCTCCAGCCCCAAAGTTAGATATTTTTCTCCCCTGATTTTTAAGAAGAAGCCAGTAAGATCAAGCCCAGCCAACATGAACGTCTCTATTCCATGTCTTTCTGGGATAATTAATAAACCCTGTGTTTGTTATTACTGCCTTACCAGAAAGCATACTTGGACTAGAGTCATACAAGACTATAGCAGCAGCTTACTAAAGGCCTTTGAAATATGTGCAAGGACCATTGGCACATGTGGAATGAACAGCCAGGCATCAGCTTGACAGCTTGCTAAAGAGATGAGGGATAAGGTCGGGAAAGGTTAGCAAATATGAATTTTCTAGTGACCATGGTGTATAGGCTAAATCTTTGCTTAATCTATATTATAAACAAAGTTGACTTTCCATTTAATTCTTTTTAACAAGAATGTCACAGTTCTTTTTTCTGATAATGAACGTATTATAACAGTATTATAACTCCTGACTTACAACCTTAGAATAATTCTTGTTTACAGACAACTACACGATTGAATGTTTGCTGTAGAAAACTGTTACTGGCTTAAAGTTGTTAGTCACATTTATCATTATTGGAATTGAGTTTACTTATCTGTATTGTGACAAATAGACCACTAATCTTGGTCTAGTTAATTCACCTAGTACAAAGGACAGCACATGTTCCCTTCAACTAGAAACAGATATATGCAAACCATTTTAAAGATTTTTAAAAAGGAGTAACGTGGTAAACTTAAACCCCAGTGCATTCCTCTTAATTATCTACAGTAGAGAGCAACAGTCTTTGAACCATCTTCCCTTGGCTTTGATATATACATTCTTGGATTCTTTTCCCACTCCTCTTTGCTTTGTGACTCACACCCTTGATATGGCGAGTGTCAAGTCTTCGTCTTAAGCTCTCTTGCCTCTTAACTTCCTATTAACAAATGATTCCTAACACAGATTTCTCTTTCAGTTCCACTTGTATTTGTCTAGCTGCCGACTCAGACTACCTATACCCAGTGGAGATGATTAGAAAAGTGGGAAACACCTACAGCTCCATTCATGGTTCTACCCTCCATTATCACAACTGTCCAAAATTCCAGTCTCTTTAGAATTCCCTTCAGCTAAGCTCCTGACATTTTTATTTGCTAGGTATTTCACAGTGCATCTGTTATTTCTATAGCCACCGCATAGACAGGCTGTGCCCCTATCACCCCAAATTACATCATTTATCTCCTATTGAGACTTTTCTTATTGTTAAGGTATCAGAGTCTGTTCTAGTCATCCATTTGTCACCTGCCAAGGGCTTCCCATGTCCTTTACAAGAAAGCACGAAACCCAAATCCTAGCCCACAGTCCTTGCATGTTCCACTCCTCCCATCTTGATCAAGGAAAGATTTCCTGACTCTCACCAATTTGCCCACGTTTTGCTTCTCACCCCTGCGCCTACATGTGCAAACTCTAGTCCTCAGCCTGTTTCTTCCTCAGGATGGTCTCCAGATGAGACCAAGTATTAGACCTTCTCTTGACTGATCTGTAACTATATTCTTGTGCAACATAACAGCCTCTTGTTTGAGGCTTAATTCTGTAGGACCTGGCTTACTGTGGGAACTTGACAAGTATTTGTTGAATAGATGGATGGAGAGGAAAGGCAGTGGCTTGGGGAAAAGATTTAAACTGAGGAAATTCAAGTTTCAGGACAAGAAGACAAATCTTTGCTGAAGCATATACATGGCCCCTATCATTTCCTTACTCGTGAGATAATTTGATCTGATCCTGTGGGATCTACTACAGTCTTCAGAAAACCCTTGCCCCCTGTGGGTTCACCATACAACTTTCAAATATAATAATGGGACCCCTCTGCTTAGAGGACTTTAAAATGTCCTCCAGACCAGATGGATTAGTTTTTAGATAACACTCTGGAAGGGGAACATGAATGACCTATGTTACAAGCTGATGTGCACTTCCCACTTCAGGACCGGGGGAAGGGGGTGTCAGTTTCCTCATTGGACAATGATAAAACTATCACAGTCTTTGGAATGGAGTATGTTGCTAAGAGACCCAAGGACATGTTGACTTTTAGCCAAGAAACTGGCTACTTTTCTTTGGGGTCTTTTTACCATGTCAAAAGTATTTGGGAGCTTTTATCTAAGCCCCAAAAGATTTTAGGGTTACCTCTTCAGAGTGGGGATGTTAGGGTGGCAGAAAGCCCCATTAAAAAAAAGAAAGAAAGAGTACATGAAGTTGTCAGAAAAAAGTGATGGGGAGATACAGGAGGAGTTGGAGGGGAGAGAGTAGTCATGGATTTGATCAAAACACCTTATGTGCATGTATAAAATTCTCAATAAATTTCTTTAAAGTTAAAAAACTGTCACGTGGATTCATGAAAACAATGTATTTTTTAAGTACTTAGAAAATGAAATTCCACAAAAAGTTAGCATTGCACAGCAATTAAACTTGCCTAAATTAAAGTATTCACATGTGCAGAGTGGATACAAGAAAACCTGTGGGTCCAGAGGCTTGGGTCTGACTATGCTTTGACCACTGTGTGGCTTTGGACAAATCACTGAGTCTGTTTCCTCAGCTGTACACAAAAGGAAGCAAAAGTAGCATTATTCGTTGTTTATCATCAGACAATTTCATCACAGCACACACTCACGTGAACTAAGCTGGCAACATCTCCAAGTGATTTAAGCTTTAGGAGATCACAACTGCATGTTGTCCTATCATTTATCAGAGCATCACTGTATGGTTCCTGACTGTACCCAGCACATGGGTAATTGACAGAATAAGCTGATAATAGTCAAAGCACTTAGAACAGCCCTGGTGCAGAGTATTAGCTGTTATATTTTGTTGATCATGTTCTGCTTTCATCATCTGCAGAATGCACACTTGGATTTGAGATCCATCACTCACAGTTCAATAAGGGTCATCTTGCCCTGGGTGAGAAGTTAGATTCTAAGGCCGCTTTCCATGATTAAATTTAGAAAGTCAACAGCAATTAAAAATATATATATATCTTGGTGTCAGCATGCACAAGACTTACGCAAACTCAAGCAGTCAAAAACGCAGCATAGAACTGGGGAAATGAGCAGTAGGCCCCAATCTTAGCCAAAGAACTATTGGCAGCTGATTACTGCTGGGTGAGGGGGAGTTGATCTTCTTCAAGGGAGTGACGCGAGATAAGCTAACTAGTCCCCAGTCGATGAACTTGCACATCTAGTTACTTGAGTCATTAGGCCTTAACATAAATGACAGAATGCATGAAATATGATGGGCGGGGGGTTATGGAAGGGTGTACAAAGATGATTAAGGGACCATAAAGATCATTAAGATGTTTTGTATGAAATACACAAAAAGTCAATTAATTTTTTAAATATCTTTTATTCTCTTATTGCCTACTAGGTACTTTCTCCTGGCTCTACAAGGGACTTACGGGAAGTCTCTGATTTCAAAAGCTCAGAAAATTGACAAGCTGCCAATAGACAAAAGAAACCTGGAAATCCAGAACTGGAGAAGCAAACATAGGCCTACCCCTACCCCTGCTTCTGCCCCTGCCCCCTCTCCTGCACAGACTCAGCCCCCACGCCGTCCAGCACCACCTGTCCCACAGAAGGACTTAAGAACCAGCACCCCAAAGTGCTCCAGCCCTCCGAGGCAGAAGCACATTGAAGAATGGATTCTCCAGGGTCAGAGATGCAGTAGAGAGCACTCCAGGGATGATGCATGCTCAGCAGACACCTCAGCTAAACTCTCATCTGGGGAATACCTTCTGGGGCCAGATAGGACTGTGGGACCAAAGGACGTATCCCGACTCTCAAGCAGACACAGCCATCGCAGGTCTCAGAGTTCACTGACCATATGAGGGGGCTGCAGAAATTGGTACAAACTCAGAAGAGGCCCCCAATCACTGGGCAAGTAACCTAGTACCCTTTTTCTTCATAGAGGAATGAATGTACAGTTTTATTCTTTCTCATCAGGGTTGACTTCCTTGAGGAAATGAAGGAGATTGACAGAAACAGATTAGGAAGCCCATTGGCCTCTAGTTTTTATCTTGATAACAATAGTCTGTGACTGGATATTATATTTTTGTTGCATTGTGTTTGAGTTTTTAGCCCAAGCACATCCTTATGACCTTCTAAGTAGGTAAAGCCTGTGAATGCAACCAGGCAGTAAGTATCCAAAGACTCCCACAAGTATTTCCACCTAGGAGATACGTCAGAATATGGAAGTTACTGGGCTTGTCAGACCATCTCCTCACCCCAAGAGTTCAAGTTTCAGAAGAGAGCTATGCATAAAAGCACTTCATCTCAAGGTCACTACAGGGTGGGCCAAGTCCAGACTAATATCCTTTCCATTCAGAGTTCAATCTGCTTTCTTCCTCTAAGCCACAGAAAAATTGTATCCGAAGATGAAAATGACCTTTGTACTCAGTACCAGACACTAAGGAGGGTTGTAGTGTTAACATTTGTGTAGGAGGCAGGAAGAATACATATAGTAAAGTATTCCAAAAACCCTTATTTCAACTAATAGACCATATGTCCCACCATCTGGGGAATAGCCTAAGGGGACATAGCACCCTTTTCATAAAGCTATTATATTTATTTTGAAGTAAAATTGCCCATCCTCATTCAACTCTTAGAATCAAATCCTAGCACAGCTGCCATCAGGAGAAACCCACATGACAGATCAGCTATGAGCCAACCATGACTTCTTAAAGGAGCAGGCTGGTGTGAAACCCCACATTCATTCAGCGCATACCTGAATGCCATCACTGGTTGTCAGTGGCCCATGCTTCAGCTAGACTGAGTCATAAGAAAAGGATGTCATGAAAGCTAAAAATGTTAAAGAATTCAAAACAGTATTTAAGTAAAAGAATGGATGACAGGGTTCGAATAAGCTTTCAAGAGAAGCTGGATCTGCTGTGGGCAGCAATAGCCTGTCCCAAGTCTTCGGAGATAAGTTGGAGAGTGTTCTTAAGCCCTCCTCTCAGGGCTAGATGAAACTCCTCCCTGTCCCAAGTCTTCGGAGATAAGTTGGAGAGTGTTCTTAAGCCCTCCTCTCTATACATACATTAGGAAAAACATCCAGGGATAGATGAAACTACTGTAACAAACTTTTGTACCTAAATCATAGCCTCTAGTCATAAGTTGGCCTATTGCTTGAGTGATTCCTCAGCAAAGATGCCCAAAAGAGCTTAATCAAGTTGGTAGATGGCAGAGTAAACTGACCCCCTGCCCAACCTCATGGAAAACAAGGACTAGAGGAGCCATCTGGCACACATCCTGAAGCTAGCAGGCTGTATCTCTTTCCTTGCCGTTGCCATATAATGATGTCAGCATGATCCAAAAGGTGGGTACTTGGGAATCCTACATAAAGTTGACTGTGAGTAGGCAAGGGGTGGGGAGATGGAGGACAGACAGACACTAGGCAACTATGAGTTGTTTCAAGTGAAGAGATCCATCAAAACTTGGATCTCAGTGCCCTCCTTTCCCTATGAGGCTCCTACCTGATGCTAATAGCCAGAAAGCCAGACAGAATATTCCAGAAAATAACAGAGCAGTGACTCCAGTAGGCCTGAATGCAAGTATTCTCTCTTGCCTTGTATTCTTTAAGGAGTCTTGAAGCAGATAGCCACACTTGCAAATTCTGTTTAAGCTGCCCTGGGTTTGGAATAAGGTTCAAGTCCAAATTGCACTGGTGAAACTCTTTGGCATGGGGATTTTCACTTCCAAAGGGAAGAGAAGTGATGGGAAACTTGGCAGAACATGTGACCCATCTTCTGAATGCCATGCGCTGCCCACCCCACCCCCCACCCCATTCTGGTGCTGCTCCTGTTCTGCCTGAACGACCATCTCAGTTTGCCTGGGATGGTTCAGTTCTTACAAATTCCTGCATCCTGGGAACCCAAGCCATTTGGTAACAAGGGGTCACCTACTTTTGCCATTCTTCATGACCCAAAGCAACTGTGACCATCCAATGTGCCATCTGACTCAGAGGGAAAATTGTAATTATTCCTCTATAATGTTAGTGGTTGTATTTAGTACATTTTTCTATGTGTGTGATCTTTTTATTATTGACTGGACATAATGTCATCATTTTTTAGAAAAATAAAGAAATAAACATGGTTTCTCATAGTTGCCGGCCCACCCGAAGCTCTTATTGCTCTTCTGACCTCCTATGTAAGGCTGGAGAGCAGGTAGGAACTAGCACGAGATAATGTTCTCTTGAAAGGCAGGGTCTCACAGTGGTGAAGGTATCTGAATTCCATCCAGCTCTGTCACAGCCTGGCAGTGGGTCCTAGGGAGAGACCATTCCACACTATGTCCAGCCAGGTGGACATGGTTACAGCCCAACAAAAACTTCAGTAAGTAAGGATGATACCAGCATTTAGGAAGAACTTGAACGAGGCACTAAAATGTCATAAAATATTTCTCCCAAGTCCTTCGCTACTCCAAACCAGGCACCACGCCGCCCAATCCAGGAGGAATCCTTTCTTCTGGAAGCCTTCTGGCACCACCTAGCAGGAGTAAAGGAGGTACTGCACTTGAGTGGGCTTCCTGCAGTGGAGACCCAGTGATTATGGTGTAGAAATGACCTCTGATGGATCCAAAGCAGCTATCTAAGTCACCATTTCACACATAAATGCCAAAGAATGAAAAATTCTGTGAGGAAAGGATCCTGGAAATTCATTCCCTAACGTGCCCCGGTGCCAGATATGTGATACCACGGTAACCTCTGCCACTAGAGAAGATCATAAATGGGATTGGTTTTAAGGAGGCTGAGTGAAAAACTGGGAAGGCAGTGGTACATTTCTGGAGATGATGAACTTCCCAGGCTCTTTGAGAACCTAGGTTGCCTTTTTCAGATAAGTAGGTATTAAGAAGTTGGAACTGCAAAGATGGCTCAGCAGTTAAGAGCACTGGCTGCTCTTGCAGAGGACCCGGGTTTGGTTCCCAGTACCCACATGGAGGCTAACAACCATCCATAACTCCAGTTCCAGGGGATCCATCACCCTGTTCTAACTTCCATGGGCATTGCACAACATGGGTGCACTTACAGGCATGCAGGCAAATACACTCATATACATAAAATAATTTTTTAAAAAAGCATTAAGAAGCTGCAGATACCTGGAGCTTGGGCAATAGCTCAGCAGTTAAGAGCAGAGGAAGAGGTTCCCAGGGTTCCCAGAACCCACATGGCAGATCACAACTGTCTGAAACTCAAGTTCCAGGGCAGCTGACTTCCACTGCTGGCCTCTGTGGGCACTGTATACATGTGGTACACTTACAGGAAAAACACTCATACGAATTAAAATGTAAATGAATCAATGTTTTTTAAAAAGAAGCTGCAGATATTTAATGAAGGGACAATGCAGCCACCACCTCCAAATGTCAGGGGAGGGGTCAGAACAAGGACACACCTCCCCTTCCCATAGACCTTCATCACACTAAGAATCAAGCACTTCCATCAAAACGTCCACCTACCCCCAACGAACATGGCTGCTTACTATGTAAATAAAGCAACAAGCCGAGACTCCCATGCTCCCTACAAGCACAGCACTGCCTCAGAGCCCCACCTCTGAACAGTGGCACAGCCACTCTCTGTCTAGAAGTCTGTAAGAGACGTTTACTTCTCACAGGGCAGCCCAAGCAAAGTGACTCAGGGGTGGAGACCACTGGGGACAGAAGGCTCCTCGGATGATGGAGACCACTGGGGACAGAAGGCTCCTCGGATGATGGAGACCACTGGGGAAGGCTCCTCAGATGATGGAGACCACTGGGGACAGAAGGCTCCTCGGATGATGGAGACCACTGGGGAAGGCTCCTCAGATGATGGAGACTACTGGGGACAGAAGGCTCCTCAGATGATGGAGACCACTAGGGACAGATAAGTTTCCTCAGATACAAGAGCAAAGAGAAGCTAGGCACTCTCTGTCTAGAAGTCTGTAAGAGACGTTTACTTCTCACAGGGCAGCCCGAGCAAAGTGACTCAGGCACCTCAGGGGTGGAGACCACTGGGGACAGAGAAGTTTCCTCAGATACAAGAGCAAAGAGAAGCTAGCCAACCAGACACTTGAACGAAGTTTAAAGAAAATATTTCTACTTTTTGTGAACCAAAGGTTCACAAAATTGGTTAGCTACAGGATCATGATTGAGGGGCTATTTATAAAAGCACCTTACCAACGGCTATACCACTGAAGAAAAGGTCCCTCTTTCTGGTAGCAACCATAGCTGCCTACAGATCCTCAAGGGTGGGGCCCTGTTAGCCTTTCCAGCTCTGTGACAAAATGTTAATGGGCCCAAACTTGTGCATGTTTGGGGAAGGTAATGGAAAACATTTTTGTTTAGGATCAACAGCAATCCCTATTCCAGCTAACCTGTATTCTTACAAAATAAAGTAAAAGATATTCCTGCAGATGGGAACGTTACCATTTCATGTCACTGACCCAAGTTAGAGATAAGTAGATATGCCTGGAGTCATCCAGCAATTTTCCAAATAAATTTAGGATTGGGATTAGTATCTCCTGACACTCATTTTTCAACCATTTCATCAGACAGCAAAAATACCAGTACTTTCCATAGCTGTTTGCAAGTTTAAAAATAAATAAAAAGCCGGGCGTGGTGGCGCACGCCTTTAATCCTAGCACTCAGGAGGCAGAGGCAGGCGGATCTTTGTGAGTTTGAGGCCAGCCTTGTCTACATAGTGAGTTCCAGGACAGCTGGACTACAAGGAGACCCTGTCTCAAAAAGACCAAAAAAAACAAAACAAACAAACAAACAAAAAAAAAACGCTAACCCTGGGCCTAAGA